TTTAGTGGCCACTCCGGCCACAGAGATCAATCATTTCAAGGGAAATTAAAACACAGAACTGTGTTCTGCCTGATGAGGTATGTCTGGAGAACAAAGATCTCATTAAAATCGAAGTGTTGGGCTCAGAGAGATGACTCAGTGTTTAAGAGCACTGTCTGCTCTTGGAGAGGACCTGGTTTCAATTCCTAGCATCCACATAGCAGCTCACAGCCACCTGTAACTCCAGTTCTAGGAAATTAAATGCCCTCTTCTGACACACGTGGTGCACAGACCCACATGCAGACAAATCACTCATCCACCTAAAATAACGTGTTTTAAAATCTTACAAAATCCAAACTGGTGCTGGCACAGTGGTGCATGCTTGGTATCCTAAGCCTTCAGGAGGCTGAGGCAGGGGGACGGCAAGTTTAGGATCAGCTTTAGTTACACTTTGAGACCCTGTTTCAAAGAAAGAAGCCTCTGTGTGTTATAAAAATAGGATATGAAGGTTAAAAAGAGGCATGGGGGGCAGTTGGGGGTAATATGATTATAATACCCTGTGTGTGAGGCCAAAGAATAAATTCAAATATCCCTTAAGATATGGAAACCCAGTTGTTCATCGATTGCATTGATGACAGTGTTGATATTGTTTTTACCTGTCCATTGTATTTATAGCATGGGATGAAGCCTGTGAAAAATTTCTCAGGTCACTGAACTAGCATTTAAATGAGGGAGATAGGGGAGGGGTTTCAAGACAGGTACAATGAGAGGCAAGAGCTTCAGGAACTGACTCAGTGGGACCACAGCGTGCACACGTGTGGGCGGGGCTCTAGTGTCCTCTGCATCCACCTGTCTGCCCAATGAGAAACCAGAACCAAGATCTGCAAGTCAAGTAAAATAAGCCTGGAACATCTTGATTATTTCTCTCCCTCCTCCTCTTCCTCCTCCTCCTCCTCTTCCTCCTCCTCTTCCTCCTCTTCTTCCTCCTCCTCCTCCATCATCATTATCTTTTTCTTCTTCCTTCTTCTATTTTATTTTGTACATGATGAGCATTTTGCCTTCATGTGTGTCTATGCATCACATGTGTGTCTGGAAGTCAGCCGAGGGCATCACATCGCCTGGAACTGAACTTAAGGCTAGTTGTGAACCACTGTGTGTGTGCTGGGAAGTGAACCTGGGTCCTCTCCAAGAGCAGCGAGTGCTCTTAACCACCGAGCCATCTCTAAACAGCACCCATCTTGGCTTCTTGGCAAACAGAGAAGCTGTTGAAGGAGGATTCCAGAACCCACTTAGTAGATTCCCAAGAGTGAAAACTGTGCTACCAGGCCAGACGGTGGTGGCACACACCTTTAATCCCAGCACTCGGGAGGCAGAGGCAGGTGGATCTCTGTGAGTTCGAGGCCAGCCTGGGCTACAGAGCGAGATCCAGGACAGGCACCAAAACTACACAGAGACACCCTGTCTTGAAAAACAAAAAACAAAACAACAAAACAAAACAAACAAAACTGCTACCTTGAGTACCGGTGATGATGATTGACACAGGTGAAACCCATCAAATGCCCATAAACCCGTCATAAGCTTATTGTCCTCTCTGGGCTGCCACGATGTGGGCTCACCACGAAGGTGCCTGCCTCCTTCCCTTTCTGCACCGTGTGGCAGCTGCATACTGATAAGGGGCGTTTCTCTTCCTAGGAAGTGTCCAGCTAGGGCTGGAGAGATGGCTCCAGAGTTAAGAGCACTTGCTGCTCTTCCAGAGGACGTGAGTTCCGTTCCGGTACCCATCCGGTCTTGTTGGGGTCTTGATTTCAGTTAACCAATTACAAAAGACAGCAGGGAGGGTAGATTTGGTTTTTCTGGCTCCAGTGGGCTAGTGTAGGGTGACATCTGCTGGACATTGTTTTTAAAACTTTTTATTTTGCTAGAGAAAGTTTTTAATAACGCATGCTAAGCAAACAGAATAGCATGCTGCGGTCTCAGCTCCATCTTACCGTTGTATTTTCGTGTGCACCTCCACCTCTCTCTACCCAGCTCCATCATTTTTATGGTTCCGTCTAGTAAGAATTGATCAGGCACACCCAGGCTGAAAGCCACACACGTTAGTAGTGACGTGTCTGCAGTTTGCTGACTCACAGCTCTATCGAGTACAGAAGGTTTCCATTACTGCGCAAATGTCCTTCCCCGCACCGGCAGCCCCCACCAGGCGACAATTGTTCTGAGTGTCCGCTGTAGATTAGCTCTGCCTGCCCCAGACAGTCACACAAATACAATCGCGTGGTGCATGCTCTTTTGTATCTCGGTTCTTTCACAATGTCCGGGAGGGTCTTCCACGCTCTCTCGAACCCTTTACTTCGCTTTTATTGCTACGTTCGGTCTTCAGTGCGGATGGGCCACATCCATTCTCCAGTTGATGGGTCTTTGGACGGCGTCCAGTTCCGGGCCATTCTGAATGAAGCTGTCCGTGGGCTGAACTTGGTGTTTCAGCCTTTTGTGGACCTGGGTTTACATTGCTCTTGTGTAAATACTTAGGGTGGAAGTGTTGATCAAAGGCTAGAGATGTGGCTGACTTCATTAGAAACTGCCAGACTTCCTTTCCTGCCGGCAATGGACATGGAGCTCAGTCACATTTGGTGGTGTGGGGTACCTGACCTCTTCTGGTGAAATCTTCATGGTTTTTTGCATTGCATTTCCCTGGTAACCAATGTCCTTGAGCACTGTGTTGAGTGAGCATTTATCTATTTTCCTTTGTAATAAGGTCCATTCAAGTCTTTTGCCTAAGTTTTGATTTTTTTTTATTATTGAACTATAGCGCGCTCTGTGTGTGTGTGTGTTTGTGCATGCTCACGTGTGTGTTTGTGCATGTGCACCTGTGCGCACATGCGCATGCATCCACAGAGACTGGAGGAGAGCATGAGGTGTCTCCCCCTATGGCTTCCCTCCTTCATTGTCTTCGCTATCTGTAATTGTATCCGGGCCAGATGTTTCTGAGTTCTTGACCTTTTAGTCAAAGAACTGAAACAAAGCCCCAAATATTCAAAGAAAAGAGCTAGAACAGCTCAGAAAGAAAATATGCTGTCGATATTAACGTTAGGCCAGGCATGATGGCACATGATTTTAACCCAGCCCTCAGGAGGCAGAGGAGGCAGATCTCTGTGAGTTCGAGACCAGTCTGGTCTACAGAGTGAGTTCCCAGCCAGCCAGAACAACATAGACCCTGTCTCAAAAAAAACAAAAACAAAACAAAACAAATTGACAACGGGCCACGTGAATGGGGGTACGTGGACCCTCAGGTGATTGCTTAATGCTTCTCTCAAAGGAATGAGTTTGGTTTTTAGGACAGCATAATTCTCTACTTTAAATTGTGTGTGTGTGTGTGTGTGTGTGTGTGTGTGTGTGTGTGTGTGTGTGTGTGTAAAAACCATGGGAACAACTTGTGGGGTTTGCTTCTTTTCTACCATGTGGGGCCCAGGGATCAAACTCAGATCATGAGGCTTGGCGACAGGCTTGGATTAAGAAGTCCCTTGCTCACTGTGCATGTCCCTTTAAATAATGCATCCAATTTTAATTATACACATGTCCAATTGTGCACATGACGTTATAGGGGATTCTCCCTAATGTTCACTCAGAGGACACAATTTGCCCCACTGTACATGTACCCAAGCCACTTCAGGAGGGATTGGTGTCCCCTGCTCTCACACCAGACATAACTGGGGTGTGATGGAATAGAACCTACATTTAGTGGCTGTTAGGAGAGATGTATCCCATTGTTTCGAGTGCAGAGTGTATGTACCCACAGTTTGATGCTTGGGGTGTGGATAGGGGTTCCTAGTTTTCTAAAAGGCTGTTGGTGCATTGTTCAGAGATAGGTCTGTGTGCATAGCACGTGCAGATCAGGGTCCCAGGATGCTAAATGCTTCATTAGGAGAGAGGTGTGAGCATAGCCCAAGCTAGGTAGAGTCCTGGGTGCTACTCTATTCCCTATGCTTGCTACCTCACCTTGAGGCAGGGTTTCTCGATGAGCCAGAGGCTAGCCATTTCAGCTGGGCTGACTTGTTTGTGAGCTCCGGGCATCTCCCTGTCTCTGCCCCCAAGTGCTGGGGTTATGGGCACAGGCAGTTGTGCCTGAGTTTTAGCTGGGTGCTGGCTATTTGCTTGCTGAGGCTCTGAACAGAAGAGAGCTGCTATCCCAGGTGCAGATCCTTTGCAGCTGTAGTTTTTAGTATGTCCTCAGTTCTGAGAAGCTTCCTCGCTGGAGTCCAGCCGCCTCCTTTCCCTCTAACCATTGTGTCTCTGTGTCTCATCTGAGAACGCTTTCCACCTTCCTCTGTTTGGAAAACACTGTTTTTCATAGTTTTACTGTCACACATAGATCTAAGAGCACCTCAATTTACAGATGACATGTTTGGCTACACACTGCATGTGTACAGTGTGCATATCTATGTGTATACACATGGTATAAGAGGGGGTTAGGTTGTAGAGCTGGACTTGTGGATAGCTAGTGATTACTGCCCTGTCTCTTGAAATGATTTTTCATTTCTTCCCTGAAATGTTCTGGTACAAACAACAACAAACAAACAAACAAAAAACCCAAACGTTTTAAAAATTAATTTCAATTTGTGTGTCTGTGCACCATGTGCGTGAGGTGCCTGTGGAAGCCAGAAGAGGCGCTAGTGAGCTGCCCAGTGTGGACGCTGGGAACTGAACTCGGCCGTTCTGCAAGGGCAGCGGGCACTCCCAACGGTGGAGCTGTCTCCAGCCCGTGAACGGGGTCAGTCACCTCCCCTTTCCTTTATTTTTCCTCGTAAGTTTTCTTCGAGGCTGTTTGAGGAGCCTGACCTGTCTCTTCCAGTTGTGTGTCATATGCCACCCAGATCCACGTTCGCCCTCCCACCTGCTCTGAAGTCATGAAAACTTCAGCCACCGTCACCTCAGCCCATTGCTGCCCCAGGGTTTAGCGTGTTTCGTGGCAGGCACCAGATTCCCGGTGAGTGGCCTGCTGAGGAATGTCCTGTTCCCCACAGAAAGAAGAAGTGAGGAAGAGACACATCCGTCTGCACATGGAGGGGACGCTCACCGCCCGCGACAAGGTCGGAGTGCAGGACTTCGTGCTGTTGGACGCCTACACCAGCGAATCCGCCTTCCTGGAGAATCTTCGCAAGCGTTTCAGAGAGAACCTCATCTATGTACGTAAGCAGCTGCCTGCACCGTCGGTCCCTCCCTGTGCACAGCCTAGAGGACCTTGAATGACCTCACCACTAGGGACCTGCAGGGGGCGCTCTCCACCCAGCCGGGGAGGCAGGAGTCACACCAACCTCCACCAATTGACATAACTCGAGAATCCAGAAACAGACTAGGGTTTCGGGCAGCCACTGCTCTGCTCTGCCTTCCCTGCTGCTGATTCCTCCTGATGCAACTTCTCTGGGCTGAGCGGCAGGGTGACAGCCCGTGCCTTGATTCCTTGGAAGGGAGTGGTGTCTTTCTGGAGGGATCTCTAGCAGATGGTCCAGAGTAGATGCTGACTCTGATTGGCTCATTTTGGGTCAGGTGCCTGCCATTCAACCAATCCCCGTAGAGAGGGACGGGGATTCGATTGGTCAGGCTGCTTTACAAGCCCACTCTGGGGGTGAGGGGTTAAGTCCCAGCATCCTTGACGCTTGTGGAATCTACTGGAACAAGTAGGGGAATAGATGCCAGGCAGGGAACCTAAGAGATCACCTTTGTACTTACTGTACATCTTCAAGGACCAAGAAAATAGCTTTTTACCAAACCCATCTCAGACAGGTCTTGTCCTGATGGGCATGCTCAGGGACCTGGGCTGGATCTCCAGCAGAAACAACTTGTAGTGTGTGTGTGCACACTATAAAGTGTGTGTATATAATATATATAATATACATACACATATACTATTTCATATATATTATAATTCAATGTGTTGAAACCAAAGTTACTAGAAAAAATATTTCTTAAATGTTTCATCCCCTGACTTTCAGAATGCTCACACTTAATTGTAAAAATGGAAACAAACTTTCTATATAAGCGAAGTGTAAATGATATGGTATGACAGAGTCATCAGGGCTGGACCAAAAGCTGCCGGTTTCAGTGGGCGAACTTCAGGGACAACTTTCTACCCTCAAGGCCACCAATTACACTGATTAAAATAGCGGGAAATTTGTATCAAAATACTCTTTTCTCTTCGGGTCTCCAGTTGACCTTTGTCCTGGAGGTTAGAAAAGTCGTCCGCAATGACTTGAGTGTGTCTGGTGTAGATGTCGGCCCCTCCATGGTGCGAAACCGCAAGTTCGGAGTCTGAAGGTGCCCCACGTATTTTCAAAGGAACCCGAATATTTTTGTTTGGGCATTAAGACCTTAGAGCAGCTCGTTTATTTATGACTGCATCCCAAGGGGCCTTCAGTCGGTGGCTAGATCACAGACATGAGCACTTGGGACGGTCTGAATCTGAGCAGAGCCAACAGCCGAAGTCTGAAGAAGTGCTGGTGATGAGAGGCTTATGTGGGGCGTTAGAGTGCGGGTAAGCAGGCTTGCCCTGCATGTTCAGCCGGGGCTCAGGGAGACGTCTGCAAAGCATTAATTGGGTCCAGGCGCCCATTCAGGGACATCCATTTATGAGAGAGTAGCAGGCTGGTCTTCATGTCATTAGGGGAGAGCATGTCTTCCCCACCCATTGTGTTCAGAACAGAGTGCCGGTTCCTGCAGCGCTCAGGCCTTCTCCCTGACAGTCTCTTTGCCCTTCTCCCAGCTCCCCACATGCACAGACTTTAGCTGCACTGGCTGAGTGCCGTCAGCCCTCCCGTCTGGACCCGTCATCCTGAAGCACACTTCCTGGCCATGACTAGCTCTTTGACCTCCAAGCTTCCACACAGATGTCCACTCCTCAGTGGAATCTTCTGGAAGCCCGCTAGCTAATGCAGCCTCCCTGCGCGTTGCCTTCTGCACACCCCTGAACGATGGATTCACTGATGCTGTCTTGAGTCTGGGCTGCATCTTGTCTGCTCTCACCCCTCCACACACGAGCTCTGGGCCAGCGGAGCACACGCCTCGTTGGATGACATTGTCAATGTGGAGTCCGTGCCTGGGGGCCGGAGTGTGCGGCTCTATTTGTACACAGGACTCCTCACATAGGGTGTGGTCCCTTCTTCCTTCAGACATACATCGGGACGCTGCTCGTGTCCGTGAATCCGTACCAGGAGCTGGGAATCTACACCGCCAGCCAGATGGAACTTTACCAGGGCGTTAATTTCTTTGAACTCCCACCACATGTGTGAGTAGCTTCCCTAGGGTCACATCCGGGCCCAGTTTCCTTTTTTTCCTCCTCATTGCATGTTTTCCCTATCTCTTCCTTCTTCACATCCTCCCATCTGTCTGTCCGTCTGTCCGCCCATCCATCCATCCATCCTCCCACCTCCATGATGGATGTCCCTTAGGTCCTGTGCTCTTTCATGTCAAAGCAGTAGAAAAACGTTAGCAGGTCACATGAGCATCTCAGCCTAAATGGACAGGAGGGGGGGATCTTTGTGGAACTTCAGACCTGTGTGACTAGAGTCATCTTCTTTGGGATGTGGCTGCTGTGGTGCCACCTGCTGGTGTCTGAGAGTTACTGCAGCTAAGGACCCCTTGGGTCTGGGCCGGAGCGATTTCTTGCCTGGTTGCCTGGTCTGCACGCTGTCAACTGCGTCCCTCTGCTCTTGGCCTCTAGGCTAGTTCTCCCCTGGTGTGTCTTGGAGGCTAAACCTCCTCCTAAAACATCTATAGATTTTTCCTCAGCAGCACCGTCAATGGCTCCTCCACTGAGACCCCAGCTCACCAGCTCTCAGGAGAGCTTAAAGTTTGGTTTCCGATTCCAGGAATAAAATGCACATGGTAGTTTAACCTCATGGGCTGACGGTATCAGAGTTTTGAATTTTTGGTTTCCCTGCGTCCCAGGTGTTGAGAAAACAGTATTTTATTGTATTTATGGAGTTATTTAATACTCAGAGAAGATACTGTTTCTACCTGAGGTTAGCAGAATGTCTCACAGGGATGTGATTTAGCATCTGGTTTATTCTCAAAAGAAATGGAAATGGATAAAAATAAATAAACTCGGTGGGGCTCGATGTGTGCTTTATGGTAGACGATGTGTTTGATTCAATCTCTAGAATCAAATTAATTAGACTGCCTCAGCTACTCTTCTGTTGCTGTGGTGAACTGCCATGACAAAGGCAACTTTGGGGAGAAAGGGTCGATTCTGCCTCTCGGTTGAAGGGCAGAGTCCGTCATGGTGGAGAAGCTAAGGAGGCAGGAGTAGGAGACAGCTGGGCACACCGTATCCGCAATCAGGAAGCAGAGAGCAATGAATGCACACTACTGCTGCTCAGTTCTCTGCCCCTAGTCACACAGTCCAAGATCCCAGGCATGGCGTCCGTGGTGGGTGGATCTTCTCCCCTCAATCTCCCACAGACCCCGCCCACCTCCAGGTGATTCTAGATTCGGTATCACGTGGGTAGATTTTGAAACTGTCTCCCTTGCCTTTAACTCCTGTGTCCCTGAAGTTTGTCATCTGGTCCTGTCTGTGCCGGCTCACTCGGGGGATCCTGGCAGAGATGTTTCTGAGGTGGCGCAGTCTGACTGTGGCTGCCTAGAGGCAGGATAGTCGGTCTGTCTGCCCAGTCGTGTGTTAGCGCCAGGGTGACCCCGCAGCATCAGGAACCGGGGTGCTCCCGTCCGCTCCTCCTCTAGCTACGCCATCGCCGACAACGCCTACCGCATGATGTGCTCAGAGCTGAACAATCACTTCATCCTCATCTCTGGAGAGAGCGGGGCTGGGAAGACGGAGGCCTCCAAGAAGATCCTCCAGTACTTCGCGGTGACCTGCCCGATGACTGAGTCACTCCAGATAGCCCGGGACAGGCTGCTGCTTTCCATCCCAATCCTGGAGGTGAGTGACCTTGAGGACCCCCTGAGGGGACTTCCAGGAGGCCCCCCAGGAAAAGGAGTCCTCTGCCTGGGTAGAGCAGTAAAAATTGGCATGTGACGATGGAGAAAAGGGGCTTGAAGGGCACTGTCACAGGGAGTGACATGACCTTGTCACAGGGAGGGACATGTCCTTCAAGTGAAGCCTGCAGGTTTGGATGTAATCCAGCAGGCCTCCGCAAAGCCCTCTGACGAAGAGCCCATCTTCCCAGCTGAGGAATGTGTCTGCTCAGCATCCTGGAGTCTCCAGAGGCCTTGAAGGTTCTATGGGACACATGACAAAAGCCGAAATGACTAGCACTTCCCTCTAATTGAGATCATCTGGGTTGTCATTTTTACCATGACGATGCGCCAACCTGCTGGCTGATGCAGGACAAGTCCCTGTCCCCTGTGCGGCTGCCCCGTCTGTGAGACATGCTCTGCAAAAGGGGTTTGCGACTGGTCCTTGGGTGTGAGAAGGGTGTGGTGACAGGCTGCCAGCCGAGCCTGCAAAGCCGCACATACTGTCCTCAGTGATTTCTAATAGATCTCCTCAGAGATTCTGGGGGGACCCCCTCCCCCCACTTTCCCTGTGTCCAAATACAGCATAAGAATTGGATCCTCTGTAGCTAGTGACTATTTTTTTTTTAGAAGATCAAGTGTGGTTTCCCTCTTTAGCGCCCCCCAGCGCCCTCTATTTTCATAATGAGCATGTTGGTTGGGGGTAGGGACTTGCCAAGCATAGTGATCCAAAGTGACACCGTGTGACATTTGTATTCAAAGGCTTTCGGAAATGCCAAGACACCCCGGAATGACAACTCCAGCAGATTTGGGAAGTATATGGACATACAGTTTGACTTCCAGGTAAGCAGTAATTCCTGCACGGGTTCCTGGGGACCCTTTACCAAGGTAACTTTCGGGAAAAGGGCAGTGGAAAAATTCAGGGTAAGGATAACTTTTAGCAATCTCTCTCTCTCTCTCTCTCTCTCTCTCTCTCTCTCTCTCTCTCTCTCTCTCTCTCTCTGTGTGTGTGTGTGTGTGCGCGCGCGCATATGCTGCAGGTGCATTCATGAACATGTAGCGTGGCACCCACGTGGAGGTCAAAGGACATTTTCAGTGTCCTCAACCTCTGCCTCATTGGAGACGAGGTCTCTTGTTCCACCACTGCATGTCAGGCTAGCTGGCCTGTGAGCTCTTGGGGATCTCTACTTCCCACCTCACTGTAAAAACACTGGGATTGTAGACATGCGCTGAGGACCCAGTCAGGCCCTTACACTGTAGAGCAAACACTTTACCTCTGGGCCATCTCTCCAGCCCCACCTCACTCCCTCCATGATAATTTTAGGACCCCAGTGAGTTACTGTGGTTCTTCATCTTTGTGGACAAGAATCCTATCTGACAATGTGGGGTGTGGGCAGACACATGGATGGCGAGGAGCCCACACACACAGCTGCTGTGATTCACAGGTGAACCCATTAGAAGATGACAGATTGCTCCAAGGATAGGCTCCTGTGTAGCGAGGCTGTTGTCACATGATCCAGAGTACAGCCAAGTGCTATGGCGCACAATCCCAGCACTCAGGAGGCCGAGGCAGGAAGACAGCCATGAATTTGAGGCTAGCCTGGGCTACAGTGTGAAGTATGGGCAGCATTCCACTTGGAGAGGTGTCCCACTGATTGATAAACACATCCACAACAGCCCTGCTCACAATGACAGAAGACTGGGTGCAGCGGCCAGCATGGAGAGGGCTCCTTGTCCACCCACAGAGGAATACTAACGTGGGGTGTGCTTACACAGTGAGGTGACACAGACATACCACAGCTTGGTGTTATACAGGTGGGCCCTGGGGACAGACAGGCTGCCATTTTTTTTTTTTATAAAACAAATGCAAAGTAAACAACACATTGTGCAGGTGTGGGGTCTGCATGAAGGGACATGCAACCTTCTCAGGTAGGGCAGGGTAGGGAATATCTTCCACTCTGGATCAGACAGCCTCAATCAAAACGCTGTCTGTTGTAGCTTGAAGGTAGCCATGAGCAGTATGTGAATGAATGAAAAAATGAATGAATGAATGAGGTGGTGCTACACACGAAATTAAAGTGCATCTGTTGCATGTGAGTACATACTCCCCTTACAGACATACATTCCAAGTGGCAAAGTGACAGGCTGGGGGGCAGCAGGTGTCCGGGGTTGCAGAGTAGCCGTTTAGTCTGGCTACCTCAGGGCCTCCCAGAAATTGGTCCATGAGCTGCTCTGGTAGCATGTACGTAGACTTGGAAAGATATTTCCTGCCTCTGCATGGTTGCAGACTTTTTTTTTAAAAAAAAATCAAAATTAAACATATCCATTGAAAATGTCAGCTCAGTGCATTTTACATATATATCTATCGGTGGGGTGTTACCACTCAGAGCAAGATGTAGAAACTCCCAGCAGCCAGAAGTTGGCCCAACAAGATCTACCAGTCCAGGGTTACCAGGGTGCTAGCTCCTGCAATCACAGCTGCATGCAGCTGATTCTCAAGGCAGGGGACACATGCACCACCATGTGAGTGTGGGGGTCAGAGGACAGCTTGCAGGAGGTGGTTCTCTCCTCCTACCATGTGGGTTCTGGGAATTGAACTCAGACCATCTCGCTTAGTGACAGGTAAGGTTATCTGCTGGCCATCTACAGAGCCATCTCACTGGCCCCATAGTGGTGATTTTGTGACAGGAATATGTGGGGTCTCTCTGTTCTCCATGCTTGACAATATCTATTTCCTTTCCTCTTGAAATCCACACTGTCTTTTTTTTAAATTTATTCATTTATTATGTATACAGTATGCCTGCAGGCCAGAAGAGGGCACCAGATCTCATTACAGATGGTTGTGAGCCACCATGTGGGTGCCGGGAATTGAACTCAGAACCTTTGGAAGAGCAGCCAGTGCTCTTAACCTCTGAGCCATCTCTCCAGCCCCCGCACTGTCTTAATTATTACTTTTGTTGTTGTTGTTTTGTTTTTCGAGACAGGGTTTCTCTGTGTAGCTTTTGGAGCCTGTCCTGGAACTCAGCCTCCCGAGTGCTGGGATTAAAGGTGTGCGCCACCACCACCCGGCCTTAAAGATATTAAAAATAATAATTGTATGGACGCACGCGTGCACACACACACACACACACACACACACACACACACAAAATAATTTTTTTTAAGTGGACAGTTTTGCCTACAGCAAATAGATTTCTCAAATGTATCATGTTGACTAAGGAAAGCCAGGCATAAAATACATAATGCACAATGTAACGCCTTACACTGTATCCCAGACAGGCCTAGAACTTACTACAGAGCCTAGACTGGCTTTAAATCCATTGTGTACCCTCCTGAGTGCTGGGATTGTGCACCACAGCACTTGGCTGTACTCTGGATCATGTGACAAGAGCCTCGCTACACAGGAGCCTATCCTTGGTGCAATCTGTCATTTTCTAATGGGTTCACCTGTGAACCCCAGCAGCCATGTGTGAGGGTTCCTCACCATTCATGTGTCTGCTCACACCCCACATTGTCAGATATGATTCTTGTCCGTGAAGACATAGAACTATGGTAACTCACTGGAGCCTCAAAATTAGTATGGGAGTGAGGTGGAACTGGGGGATGGCTCAGAGGGTAAAATCACTTATCATTTAAGCAGACGAAGTTCAACCCCAGGACCCACGGACTCCTGAAGATGAGAGATCCTCTGACCTCCTTGCCCTCCTGCCATATACACAAATACACAAAAGTGAAAAAATATTTAATTTTTTAAAATCTATGTTTATGTATGTGAGCATGTGCTATGTGTGTGGAGGTGCCCACAGATGCCAGAAGAGGGTGCCGGGTCCCCTGGAGCTGGAGTTATCTGTGCCATCATTGGTGCATGGCCGGGAGGGACTGATTGGAACAAGAGTGAAGTGACAGAAACCTCAGTGCTAGGATTTGAACTCCCTTCTGGAAGAGCTAGAAGTGGGCTGTCTCTCCAACCAACCATGCTTTAAAAAAAAATCTATTTAAAATCACTGAGATTCAGTAGGGACGACGCCATCTTTCCAATGAATGATGCTTTTTATTGACATTAAGTGTTAATAATGATTTTAGAAGACCTTTGACCCTTACCTCACACCATATACAAAAATTAAACAGTGTGGGTTGGCAAGATGAGTTGGTATGTACAAGCACTTGCTACATGAGCCTGATGGCCCAGGCTCGATCCCCAGAACCCACATGGTGGAAGGAGGGAATGATGAAATCCTGAAAGTTATTCTCCGACCTCCACATCTATGCTATAGTACATGTGCATGCGTGCTTGTGCACACATACTAATAAATACAAATGTTAAGTTACCTTAAAATTGGCATGATGGACCATAGTCTGAAACATTAAACTTTAAAACAAGCAGAGAAAGTACCTTCCTGACCTCGGAGTGGGCAAAAACCAGAGCCGAGGAAACGTCAATCACTGACCCAGGGAGATGGTTATTCATTCACATTTTAAGGCTTCTGAGTTGGCCTCGACAGTGCATTCCTGTCATTTTAGCGCTTGGGAGATGAGGCAGGAAACGTGTGAGTTCAGGGCTAGCCTGGACTACCCAGTAAAGTTGAAGCCAGTCTGCTACGGAGACTCCCCCCATCCCACCAATGAAGAAAACCACCCTGAGCTAGACCGCTGCTGTTCATCAGGTCGGCAGTGGGAGGGGACTTGTCCTAGCCACCACCCTGCATTTTTTTTTTGTTTTGAAGGGCATCCCTGTAGGCGGGCATATCATCAGTTACTTGATCGAAAAATCCCGCGTTGTCTATCAAAACCACGGGGAGCGGAATTTCCACATCTTCTACCAGCTGCTGGCAGGTGGGGAAGTGGAGCGCCTCACCTCCCTGGGACTTGAGCAGGACCCCCAGCTGTACAAATACCTCTCTCAGGTTAGAAGGACCAGTGCCTGGCTTTGGTGGCCCTCAGGAGTGGGGGAGGGGGCTGGGGGCGTTTGCTGTTCTGATTGTACTCTCCTGCATGACACCTGTCACAAGCAAGCTAACGCGTCTTCTCTCGAGACTGACAACCATCTCACCTTGGGAAAAGCATACCAATGTCTAATTCCTGGTAGACACGAGACGAGATTTGGTTGAACCGTCTTAGAAACAGAGGGAACACCACCGGGGTAGAGCACTGGCCTCATATGTACGAGGCCCTGGGTTCGAAACTCAGCACCAACTTGGTGAACAGACATGTTGGAGTCAACCTTCGGATGTTTAAATTTGGTCCTTCCAGGGTGGGATGGGGCTGCCAGAGCTGTTATGATGTCACCTCCCATGTTCTGAGGATGCAGCTCAGTGGTCCAGGACCTGCCGAGGATGCACAGGGTCCTGGTTTTCAGTGCCAGCGTCACACACACACACACACACACACACACACACACACTCCCCTTAGATGTGGCACACAGTCAAGGTGAGAGTTGCTGGTGCACATGTGACGGGCACTGTCCTCTCCCTCTGCCCCATCCACCAATCTGAAAAGAACTCTCTACAGCTCCCCACCTTCCACTGCGAGAGCGCTCTGCTGCAAAGTGAAGAGAGCTCAGGCCGGCCCTGGGAGCGGGCCTGGGAGCTAGCGCTGTTCAGAGTTTAACTCGGATGCATTACTTTTTCTGCAGCCTGTGCCTGGGTTCCGAGATTCCCAGCTGTGTGAAGCATTTGATGCGGCTAGCACCTTTCTTTGCCCAAAGCTTTTTTTTTTTTTCTCCTTTCCTTCTCACTGGGCCTGGCTTTGCACTGAGGCGGCCATGCAGAATGCAGGTGAGGGAGAAAGCAAAGCTTTCGTAAAATGAGGACCGGCGTTGCGTAGAAGCCTTAGGAGAAGAGCAGGAATGTCTTGGAAAAGCAAAGCCAGATGGAAAGAAGTTTCCTAACACCTATGTTTGATAAGCCCACAGCTGGTTCTCAGAACACAGCGTCTGATTTGGGTTTGTTTTGCATTTCCTTTTAAGGACCTGGTTTTCGCAGGGTAGCCACACATCTGTGTCATCATTGGTGCATGGCCAGGAGGGACTGATTGGAACAAGAGTGAAGTGACAGAAACCTCAGTCACTTCCCCAAACATGTGTCTTCCCTTTGAGAATTGTATCTCTCTCTTGGAGACACACAGACACAGAGACAAACACATACACACACAGCACTTTATTTTTATAGATTTTTTTTCCCTGGCTCTACTGCTTTAATCAGACCCATATGGCCCACTGGCTTTGCCAGCATGTGTGTGTTTTGTATTTTTTTAAATCCGTTTCCTGGTGCCCCACAATGTCGGGGACACGGTCAGCAGTTTGCACTGCTCTAAACAAGCTGTGTGACTCAAAGGGACAGATCTGCAAACGCTTTGCCTGCAGAGGGCAGGAGAAGATGTCTTGTGGGAAGGGACAGCTGCTCAGGTTCCATGGAGATCCATTCGAGGACCCCTCATGGGTGGCAACATCCAAGGATGCTCAAGTCTCGTGTAAGATGCCCAAGTGTTTGCATATGACTTACGCATCCTCCCATGTATACTGAGGTGTCTCCAGGTCCTTTGCATGACCAAATACAATACAAATGCTGCTATAGGAAGTTATGGGGGCTGGAGAGAGGGCTCAGTCAGAAAAGTGCCACACAAGCGTGAGGACCTCAGTTTGAATCCCTGGCATCCACGTCAAAAGTGAGGAGGCAGAGATGAGAGGGGACCTTTGAGACTTACTTCCAGTCAGGCTAACTGAAGGGGGCTCCTGCACAGCAGAGGTTTCCTCCCAGACCCCAGATTAGGCACAAACCACACCCAAACACCTGTTCTCACAGAAAGACCCTTTATTAAGCGGGGGAGAGGAGTCAACGTGGCTGCTTTCTGACTCAGAGCTTGCAGGTGTAATTTTTAAGAAGAGAAAAAGGGGAGGTCTGTGTTGGGATGGACTAGGGTGCAGTGGTAGAGGAGACAGAGGGTGGGGGAGAAGGGGAAGGGGGCAGGGATATTTGTCTCGGAGGGCTGGGGGTCAGACAGAGGACTGCCTCTGGATAGAGAAGAGACAGATGTGGCCCACTGGCAAATGGTGGTTTATAAAGGTAAAGGAGGAAACCCCCAGTTAGGATGAGGTGTTTAATTTTAATTGGGCATGTTAATTAGGTGAGCCAAAGGGGTCTTCTGATTGCTGGACTTCAATACTTTGGTAGCTGGACCTTGGTAGTCAGCCTCAGGAGGAGGAAGTGGCCAAATAAGGGAATGGACCTTGGTGGCTAGCTTTAGGAAAGTAGTCTAATGTTTTAGCAAGGCAGAGGGAATGGGGGAGAAGGACAAGGCCTGCCAGAGCCACATGCTAGTGTCCCTTCACTAACCAAATCAGTGAGGGCCAGGATCAGTGAGACACCCTGTCTCAAAAAATAAGATGGAGGGTGATCAAGAAAGATACCCATCATTGACCTCTGACCTCCATGCCCAGACATGAAGCCATGTGCACACACAAACACATGTCCACAGGCACACTAAGTAAACACTGTCACACTGTAAACCATTTAGGGGAATAACAACAAGAGAAGTCTGCACATGCTCACTGCAACATAACTTATCTGAATATTTTTGGTTGAACGTGAGGACACAGAACTCACAGACATGGAATTCTGTTTTCTAAAACTGAATTTTTTTTCTGGCTGATTCTCTGGTGAATGCTGTGTACAATACAGACATATTTTGAGATGATAAGGTAACCAGCAAACTGGGAACACCTTGTACCCCCAATGCAAAATAATTTTTAAAATGTCTAGGCTGTTGCCTCTTTAAATTGCCACGTTGCTGAGCCAGCAACGTGTCTTGAGGGGTAAAGCCACTTGCCTCAAAGTCTGGTGACCTGAGTTCTGTCCCCAGATCCCACATGGCGGAGGAACGGACCCAATTCTGATCTGCACACATACACCCAGGCATGCGTGTGCCCACACACACACACATCATACACACACACACAATAAATAAATACGTGTAATGAAAACTGTGACATTGGCGGGTCTGTTATTTAAAAGGCAACATTCAGAGCTGATTGAGAAGTCTGATCTCATCTCTGCCACCAAGCACTGAATGTTGTCTGTCAGTCTGTAAAGTGTACATCCTCCCCTCCTTCAGTGAGGCTGCCCCCAGTCTAACTCTACAGTGAGGTGGGTTTTTTTTTTTTTTTTTTTTTTTTTTTTTTTTTTTTTTTTTTTTTTTTTTTTTTTTTGCTGAACAGGGCCATCATCCAAATTTAAGCACTTTTTTTTTTTTTTGCATGCTTCAGCCAATCCCTTTTAGACAAACACCTTCCAATTAGCACAAAGGAAACGTGTTTTAAAACAGGTCCTGAAAATACAGTCCACTAGCTTTGGAAGTTTCTCAGGACAGGGACTTTTAAAGATAAAATGCCAAATAAAACTGAAAAGAAGCTGCCGCCAGCCAATGACCTCTGTGAGGTGGTTTAAAACCTCTACGGTTTGGGACGTTACAGAAGTGGGTTCTGCGGGATCAGAAAACCACTTCACGTTAGGAACCGGTGTGTGCATGTTCAACTGTCCTTAAAATGGCACTAACGGATCCAACTGTGTCATAGGGTCATTGTGCCCGAGAGTCACCTATCAACGACAGGAATGACTGGAAAACTGTGTCCAATGCCTTTTCTGTCATCGACTTTACGGAAGCTGACCTTGAGGTAAAGGCCCTGGGCTTCTGTCTGGGTGGGAACTGCCCTGTGTTCTTGGGGTTTTGGTCACTGCAGGACCACTGGACTCAGCAAAGAAAGGCATGAGACAGGGCTGGAGGAACTGATAAGCATGTCCCAGATATGGCTGGGGATGGTGCAGTCGGTAGGTAAAGACCTGGGATATGGCTGGGGATGGTGCAGTCGGCAGAGTGCTTTATCCCCAGAACCCGCATCAAAACCCGGGTGTAGGAGCTGGAGAGATGGCTCAGCAGTTAAGAACACTGTGGCTCTCGCAACATCACCCATGTCGTGTGGCTGGGGAACCACTCATAATTCCAGGTCCAGCGGACCCAGTGCTAAATAATAAATCTTTTTTTTTAAGATGTATTTTATGTGTTTGAGTGTTTTGCCTGCATGCATGTCGGTACGTTCCATACGTGCCTGGTGCCCACTGAGGCCAAAAGAGAGCGGGAGATCCCCTGGATCTGGAGTTACAGATGCTTGAGAGACATCATGTGGGTGCTGGGAAAAGAACCCAGATCCTCTGCAAGAGCAACAAGTACTCAGAGCCACCATGCCACCTCTCCAGCCCCTAAAAAAAGAAGGCCATGTGTTATGGCGCACACCTGTGATCCCAGCAGTGATGGGGGAGAGGAAGGGGGTCCCTGGGCTTACTGGCCAGCCAGCCTGGCTCCTATGGTACGTTCCAGATCAGTGAGACACTGGTAAACATAAATAAACCAATAAAAAGTGGACATGATGCCTGTGAGCTCACACCTGTTCCACGCACACAAACACACCCATGTGTACACGTATGGACATGCCCACAGGTGAACCTGCATAGGGTAAAATATAGGACATATTGTAATGCAAGCACTTTGAGATAGTGAAGAGTATTTAATGTAAATCTGCCTCACGTATTAAACAATTTAAAAGATCAGTCATACCCTGGTCAAATAAAAAAATGGGCATTTTGCCTCTTTCCTGTCAGCTTGAATTTCTCCAGTGTAGAGGGAGGTGACATGGTCCCTCCTCCAGGTTAAGTCCAGTCTCGACTTAGATCCACTGGGCTTGCACATTTATTCTTTATTTACTCTTCAATTTTGAAACAAATTGCATCATGGGTAAACACTGAATAGAATTTTGTCTTTTGATGTTCTGTTCTGATTATAAATCTGTTCATCTTTCAAGGACCAAAATGCAGTTTTATAAAATGATAATATTTGAGACACACTGTTTGAAAACTGAATGGCTTACCTGTGAGACTGATTGGTTTGTTTTGAGACAGGGTCTTGCTACGTAGCCCAGGCTAGCTTGGAAATAGTGACCCCCTGCCTCAGCCTCCCAAGTGCTGTAGTTACATGCATACACTTCCCCTGCTAGCTGGGAGTTTGTTGTTTTATAAACTGATTTTTAAAAAGAGTGTTTTGTTTTGATTTTTGTATACAGGATTTCTTGGTGTAGTAGCCCTGGCTATTCTGGCCTTGTAGACCAGGCTAGCCTCAAACTCACAGGGATCCACCTGCCTCTGCCTCCCCAGTGCTGGGATTAAAGGTGTGCGCCATCACACCTGGCTTACAAACTGCTTTTATAAAATGCTTATGTATTTATATTTTGTGCTGGGGTCTGAGAGAGGCTCTCCTCCAGCCCTCATTCTTCATTAAGATAATTAATACCGGAAGTGACCAGGGCACATTCCTAGGGAGGAGGCGGCTGGCTCTGTGAACTGGGCAGGGATTCAGGGTAGGAGACGTCTCAATGCCATTTGTCAGGGAGGTGCTGCTGACCCCTCTGTCGCTGTCCCCTGCCTGCCTACATATCTAGAACCTCTTTGGGATCATTGCCAGCGTCCTACACCTGGGCAACATCTGTTTCAAGGAGGACAAGCAAGGCTGTGCCAGCGTTCCGGACACTCATGAAATCAAGTGGATTGCCAAGGTGACCTTCCTTTCCTGAAGAGCAGTGGAGTGGGGAGCCCGGCCCCAGGTGCCCACAGCAGCCCACATGGCCAGCACCACATTCTTTTGCTGGTGCCAGTTAGGAGGGTTAGAGCGACCACTGAACTTGCTTCTGTTTCTTTTGGTTTTGAGATAAGATCTCATTACACAGCCTAGGCTGGCCCTGAGCTGGTATCATCCTGTCTCGGGCCCCCTGAGATGACAGGGGTGCAGCACATAGCGGGTTCAGTGAGGCCCCTTCCTCCCTAAAGCACAGTGACGAGGGTGGGGGACAGTGGACCTGGAGGGGACACAGGCTCTTCATAGTCACCAAGGGACGACCGAATTCTTTCCTGCAGCTCCTGGGGGTCTGCCCGGTGGTTCTCCTGGAAGCTCTCACCCACAGGAAGATTGAAGCCAAAACAGAGGAGGTGAAAATGGCACTGGGGAGATCTCTGTCCCCCACCCATGACTGCCTGACTCAGATGGTAGTGCTCTGGTGTCTGCTGTGGGTAACAAACCCCCAAACCCAGCCTACCAGGCCTGGAGTGGTTCTTCTCTTGCTGGGGTCCCAGCCCCATCTCCCCACCCCCATTCCTCCACCCCCCATTAATCATCCCCACCTCCCACCCCTCGTCCCTCTTCCCCACCCCTTCCCGCTACACTGCCACACCAGCTCATGCTTTGTACATGGTGCTCCTTCACGGGGCCTTTGCACATGCTGTTCCCTCTGCTGGAATGCCCTTCCCTGTTCTTCATCCTCTAGCCCCCAGAGCCCTGAATCACGGCCCCTTCCCTGATCACGTGCCTCGACCTCACCTTTCTCCTTGTGGCACCTGTCACTCCGCCTGCCCCATGGCTTTCCTTGGTGTGATTCTTGGTGTGTTTGGTCAGCGCTCCCAACTCTACACCAAGCTGAGCCCGCAAACACTGGGACAGCAGGGCTGTGTCTGGGTCCCGGTCTCCTAACTTGTATTCTTTGCTCAGTCACCATCGAAGACTAGCGTGACCACTGAGGGGCGGGGCTTGTCCTGTCTGTAACACGGCGTACCTTGCCCTTCCTTCCAGGTGATATGCCCACTGACGGTAGAACTCTCCGTTTACGCTAGAGATGCCATGGCGAAGGCCGTTTACGGACGGACGTTTACTTGGCTGGTCAATAAAATCAATTCCTCCCTAGTCAACAAGGTGGGTCAACACGGGTGGCATGTCTTGGTCTCACCAAAGTGCTGATGTCTTACCGTTCCCATAGTGAAGTGGCTGTGAAGGGTGAAGCGTAAGCTCCTCATGGGCAGGGGTAACATCGTATTGGGTCTTCCAGTGCCTGCACACAGTAGGCCAACAGGCGTACGTACCACATACTTTGGCAGTCCTTCACAAAGTCTAGCATCCATAGCACCTGTGGTACACCCGATGGCTATGCGTGCCCACAGAAGCTTCATAAAGACATAGAATTTTAATATGTCTAAGAACATGCAGTGGATCCCCAAACTCCTACTTAGGTTAAGTTCCCTTTTTAAGTGGAATCAGGTAAGATGGGAGTTTATCTAAAGCCAGACATTGAGGCATGACTCTAAGCCTAGGGTGGAGAATACAGACCGGGGAGGCAGCATATCTTAGTCCACTCAGACAGAAGCGCCCACTGTGTCCAGCTAAAAATAATAAGTGGTGCTAGATAGCTCAGCAGTTAAGAATGCTGCTGTTTTTAGCAGAGGACACAAGTTCAGTTCCAGCATCCACAATGGTCGGCACACAACCACCTGTAATTCCAGTTCCAGGGGACCCAGATGACCAGTTCTGGCCTCCGTGTGTGCCTGAATACATGTGGCACATGTGCACGTGTACATGCACACATACACATAAATTAAATAAATCAAATTAATAATAACAAGCACATTCTCTGTTGCTCCACGAGCTGGACAATGGAAAAGTGTAGACATTTACTTAGCTCAGGGTTGGAGGCTGGGGGGTTGAGAGCACGATGCTGCATCTGGTGTCGTCTCCTCCCCTGACGTGGCGGAGGACATCCCGTAGGGAGGCACGATTTGCTGGTGAGCCTCTTCATCTTGGGGCCCCTCCTCAGGATCTTGTCCTCCAAGTACCGATAACATGCATCGCAAGATATTTCTGACACGTAGACTTTGGGGGAGAAACACGGAACCCAGAGCCTCATTGTGGGGTGTCCGCCCCCATGCCTGTATAAAATGGCATCCATGTGGCTGTCCCCTCTCGCCCAGGCAAGCACTTCCTTGGCGGTTTGCAGGTCACTTTTCATTGTTGGTTTTGGATCCCAATGCCCGCTTGGGAGGCTGGAGAGACATGAAGCCATGATGTGAAGCAGTAAGACATGTGTTGCTGACCTAGACAAGCCACAGGCAGGTCCGGCTGAGGAGCCAGCTGACAGGCCCCAGAGGTTACCCTGTGAGCAGCTGCTGAAGAAAGAGGCAGGAGGAGCCGTGAGCTTTGTCGCTGAGTCCCAACCTCAGGGACAACAACATGGCTTCAAGTATTACAAAATGACAAACCTAGCTGAATCAGTCTGTTTTCCATTACTCTGTTGAGGAGGAGGACGAGGAGTACCACATGGCAAGAGAGGAGACGCTCTATGCGTCTGCTCTGGTGTCTCTCTCTCTTCCTGGGGAGTCAGCAGCAGCGGGTCACGGGGGCTCTACTCTGATGTTCTTATCTAGCTGATGACCCCCTAAAGCTCTCCCCCTACCTCCAAACTCTACAGTCAAGTTTAGTTTCCTCTTAAAGCTTCACTGTGGGGATTAAGTTTCAACACAAGAGCCTTTAGGTAAGGGCTAGAAGGATGGCTCAGTGGTTCAAAGCACTTGCTACTCTTGCAGAGGACCTGTTGGGTTCCCAGGACCCACATCAGGCAGCTCACAGCCGACTGTAACTCTAGCTCCAGGGGATCCAACACCCTCTTCTGGCCTCTGTGGACACCCGCAAACAGGTGGCAGACACACACACTAAAAATAAACGTTTAAATGAAGTTTTGGAAGTTACACGGGATGGCCCACGCCGCAGTACTAGCAGCTAAAGGCATGCATTTTTTTTCCCACTAGGATTTTACCCAAAAGACTGTGATTGGGTTGCTGGACATCTACGGTTTCGAAGTCTTTGACAAGAACGGGTGAGTTGCCGCTGCCTGCCTGCTGTGTTTTCCTCTTTGTGGTTTTAGTCAGCGTCTACGCCATGGTTAAGGAGCTGGAATTAGTTTTCCTGACCCTAGAACTACAGTCCTCAATCCACACACTACGCAAGTGCTCCACCCACAGGCCGCATCCCTGGCCACTCCAACGCTGTCCCGGAAGCAGAACCACAAACCACCTGACCCTGTTCCCACCTGTTCCATCGTTTATTAGTGGACCGCTCTGTAGACAGGAGCTGTGTGTACTCACCAAGAGGTGGTCTGGCTGTGCCTGGCCTAGCTGCACGGTCGGTGCATGTTTCGTTGCATGATCGAAATCCCCTGCGTCTCTAGTTTTGAACAGTTCTGTATAAACTACTGCAACGAGAAACTGCAGCAGCTGCTGATAGAGAGGACGCTGAAGGCCGAGCAGGCCGAGTATGAATCCGAAGGCATCGAGGTGAGCATTGGATGTGTTTCTGAATTTGAGTGTGTGGCTCAGAGAGGAGGGAGGGAGGGAGGGAGGGACGGACGGACAGACAGGAGGGCACAGGGCTGGCAGTAGCCCCCCCCCCCCACAGGGCTTTGAACACACTGGTGAGGTGTTCTAGCCCCAGTTCCACCCCGACCCCTCCTCATTCATTTGGGAAGTGTTATCTCACTGGGTAGTTCCTGGATTGAGGACTTTAATTCTTCCCTAGGAAGATACTTGGGATATTTAGAAAGTATCATTTAAGGATTTTTTTTTTTTTTTTTTTTTTTTTTTTTTTTTTTTTTTGGTTTTTCGAGACAGGGTTTCTCTGTGTAGCTTTGCGCCTTTCCTGGGACTCGCTCTGTAGCCCAGACTGGCCTCGAACTCACAGAGATCCGCCTGCCTCTGCCTCCCGAGTGCTGGGATGAAAGGCGTGCGCCACCACCGCCCGGCTCATTGAAGGATTTTTAACTTTTGGTTTTGTGTGTGCGTCGGCATGATGTGTGTGTAGATGCACATGCCAGGACACAGGACAACTTCCCGGAGTCGGTTCTTTCCTCCACCTTTACACGGGTCCCAGGGTTCGAATTCAGGGCGTCAGGCTTGTGTGGCAAACCCCTTTACCTGCTGAGCCATCTCGCCAGCCCCCAAAGCACCATTTTTAAAGATTTTAAGTTATGTGAGTGTGTGTGTCTGGGTGGGTACGGGCACCTCAGCACAGGTGCCCGTGGGGGCCAGAAAAGGGGGCAGGCGCCCTAGAGCCAGTTACAGGCAGTCATAAGCCACAGAATGTGCATACTGGGAACTGAACTTGAGTCCTCTGTGAGAGCTGTGAATGTTCTTAACTGCCAAGCCGTCTCTCCAGCCCCCCAAAATGCAATTCTTCAGGTTGGATAGGAAAACCAGGTTTTGAGAAAGTATTTGGAAAATCCCTGTCAAACCAATGTGCTCGATGCCCCTGTGCATGCTGGGAGAGCTCTTCCCTCTCGTCCTTTTAGTGGGAGCCTGTTCAGTACTTCAACAACAAGATCATCTGTGATTTGGTCGAAGAGAGACACAGAGGGATCATGTCTATTCTGGTGAGAAAACAATGGCCCAGTTCCTTCACTGGTGTGGGAGCCAGCAGAGGTTTCCTAGTGAGATCTGAGCTTGCTTTACCCAGTAGGGCTGCATTAGGGGATGGCTGGACCACGTGCATGGTCACCAGGTGTCTGGGATGGTCTGCACTGGGCTGTGCTGGGGGGAGGTCTTTTGCTCCACCCCTTGGCATTCCTTTAAAAGCCTTTTAGTAGGGACAGAAGGGGCCGTGGGTTTTGACCCAGGCCCTCCCGAGGCTATTCTGTGTTTCTCTTCATTGTCTAGGTATCTCTATCTAAATATTACCCTGGTCATAAAAGTGGAGGCTGGTTCCCTCCACATGCTGGGTGTCTGCCACAGATGGACACATGTTCCCAGGGCTAGAAAGGGGTAGAGGAAGTCCCGTGTATCCCCAGCAACTAAGGCGGATTGCCGTGGGTTTGAGGCCAGCCTGGACTACATACTAAGTTCCCAAACAGCCTAGGCTACAGAATGGGATGTCTCAAAGTGTGTGTGTGTGTGTGTGTGTGTGTGTGTACACACAGGCGAGTGTTTACGATGGGCAGTGAGGTAGTATCACTGCTGAGGAACCACACACACAGGGACCGAGAAAGGCGCTAGTTCAGGCTCAGCCGCTTTCACTCCATGAGGCCTCCACATGGTGCGTGCGGTTCTTCTTGACCCTTGACGATCTGTTCAGAGTGTTTACGTAAGCTGCCACGGCAACCGCGAGTGTCTTCGGGAAGTCCAAAGCTATGGCCAGAGCAAGACATGGTGGGGCCTGCCTGCCATCTCAGCATTCCAGAATCATGAGCTTGAGGCCAGCCTGAGCTACATATTAAGACACTAACTAAGGGATGAGGGAGGAAGAAGGGACAGAAAAATGAGTCAGACTGGGGTGTGGTGGTACATAACCTGTCATTCCAACACTCAGGAGGCTGAGGCAGGCAGATGATGAGTTTGAGACCACTTCAAGCTAAATGTCGAGATCCCAACTAGAGGCAAGGGAGAAGAGAAAGAGAGGAGAAGGAAGGGGGAGGGAGGGAGGAAGGAAGGAAGGAGGGAAGGAAGGAAAAGACACAGGTTGGAGCCTGTGCTGGTGGTGCGCATACGCTCTCAGCCCTGGGAGGGCTAAAGCAGGAGTTGGAGGCAGCCTGGATACACAGCAAAGCCCTGCCTGGAAAGGAAAGGCTAGTAGGGAGATGGGGAAGGAAACTGGACAAGCCAGATGCAGGAGAGTCACTGTGTGATATTTCCAGTCTCTCTGGGGCGGAGGCTCCCTCAGCCAGTCCCAGGGTCCAAGCACACGTGATGGGAGGCCCTTCCTCGTAGAGGTGCACCTGGTCTCATGCGAGGTGACAGGAATTTAATCTAGAACCTTCAACCACTGCTGGAGACAACGTACTTAGCTTTTAGCTGGCATATGCCACGGTGTGCAGCTGAGGTGTCTTTTGCTTTGAAAGGATGAAGAATGCATCCGTCCAGGTCCCGCTACAGACTTGAGTTTCCTGGAGAAGCTGGAAGAGAAAGTGGGCAAGCATGCACACTTCCAAACGTGCGTACTTCATCTGGGGGGCTGGCCCGCGGGGAGGAGGCTATGGCGTCTGTCTTGGACCTGTGTCCAAGTACAAGTACTTGGGGGCTGTAGAGAAGGCTCGGTGGGTGAGAACATTTGCTGGGAAAGCGTGAGGACCTGAGTTTGGATCCCAGCACCCACATGAAAAGCTGGGCATGGCTGCACTCATCCGGAACCCCAGGGCTGAGGCGGAGGGACAATTGCCGCAGCCTGCTGGCTGCCAGCCTACCTAAAAGAATAAGGAGTAGGGTGACAGAGAAGGACGGCAGTGTCTGTCCTCCTCAGGTCTCTTTGTGCTGACCATGTACATATGTTTACCCACACCGCACACACGCATACACACAGCACAGTGACCCCATATACAAAAGTAGCATCCCGAAAGCTGGCTCGTGTGCCAGCATGCCCTTGTTAGTAGAAATCGGACTGACGGGAACTCCAAGTAGAGCGTCTGTCTCGCTTTGTTCGGCGATGGTTACATTTCATGTGTGGTGCAGGTGTGAGATGGTCCTTCTGAACAATTTAGGGACAGTAGGGACAGCCAGATGCAGGGATACAGCCCTGCCATCCCAGTGCTCGGGAGGCTGAGACAGGGAATCGGGAGTTCAGGCCAGCCTGGGCCACACTGAAGGACCTTAAAATGGAGAAACAAATGAGAAAAACCTGGGGATGGGGCTGTAGCTCAACCCAGCATGTGCAGTGCCCCAGGCTTCATTCTAGTTCTGGCAAAATAAAAATGAAAAATGATTTGTGTCTAAAATAGTGTGAATGTGCAGCAGGGAGTGTGTGTGTGTGTGCGCGTGCGTGTGCGCGCGCACACACACATGCATGCATACATATGCATGCACATACATGTAGGAGTTATGGGCGGTTGTGAGCCATCCTATGTAGGTGCTGGGAACCTCTGAGTCGTCTCTACAGCCCCTGGATGTTAACATTATTAATACGTAAGCCCCATGCCGATCAAAAGCATTCACAATGGCTCAGAAAGGAAATTCAAACTCTAACTTAGTCTTTGAGACAAATAAGAGAAAAATGTAAGCAGGGTCTAGAACCAGGAGTAGGCATTCTCTTAAACCCAAACTTGGGAGGCAGAGGTAGGAGGATCTCTGAGTTCGAGGCCAGCTTGGTCTACATAACAAGTTCCTGGTCAGTCAGAGACCTGGATTCATTCCCCAGCACCAACAAACAAAAGAAAACAAAACAAAAACCCGGCTTCGAGTCCTTGTCCCAGCGTGGCCGCTGACTGAGTGGACGAGCAACGTCTTCTGCATGGGAGTCTCACTGCTACAAAGTGGGGTCTCACCACACCTACCCAGCAGCTCTGTGAGTGTCCACAGAAGTTGTCATCCGCAGGAAACCTGTCAGACCCCAGAGACACGTGGATGAAGCTGTATATGCAAATGAAGTGAGCGTGGCCAACGGACTGAGCACAGTCACAAACAGCCTCTCACCGGGACTAGGGTCCGTCCATTAGACGAGGCTGACTGGCCTGTGAGCTCCGGGGACCAGCTTGCCTCCAGCTCCCCAGGGCTGAGGTTACAGGTTCACGCCATCAACCTTGGCCTTTTTTTTTAAACCCTGGGTTCTAAAAAATCAAATTCGGGTCTCATGCTTGTACAGCAAGCATTTTGCCAAATGAACTATTTACCATACCTTTTGAAAGTATATGTATTAGTTTACTTATTTGCGTGAGTGAGAATGCCCGTGAACACACTTACCACATTGTGTGGAGGTCAGGGGACAACTTGGGGAAGTCAGTTCTCTCTTTCCACTAGGCGGGTCTCTGGGTTCGAACTACGGTCATCAGACTTGGTGGCAAGCACCTTTACCCACCGAACCATCTCACTGGATTCCCCTCCTCCTCCTCTTCCTTCTTCCATATTTTTGAGACAGGGTCTCACTATGTAGCCTTGGCTGGCCTGTAGCTTACTATGCTGACCAGGCTGGCCTCAAACTCACAAAGATCCTCCTGCCTCCTGAGTACTGGGATTAAAGTCATGTGCTACCACACCCAACCTCTTTATTATTTTTATTATTATTATTATTATTATTTCTTTTAAAAAAAATGGGGCTAAAAAGATAAAGAGCACTTGTTGCTCTTCCAGGGGGCTCAGATTTGGTTCCTAACACTCACATGGTGACTCACATCTGTCTCTAACTCCAGTTCCAGGCCAGCCAACGCCGTCTTCTGGCCTGAGCAGGCACCAGGCACAAATGTGGTGCACGGACATACATGCAGGCGCAACACCCATCAACACAAAATTAAAAAATAACCCCAACCCCCTGCATTGTTGTTGAGGGAGCCCAAGTCTTCGTGCTTGCCGGGCAAGCGTTCTACAGAGTCAGGCCCCCAGCGCCAGGTTACTTTATTTAAATAGCAAAACTTGAATGTCTCTCACAGGCATGTTTTTCTTCCTCACTAGTTTAGGTGTGAAGGGAGGCTCTAAGTGTGGGAACTGATACACAGCCAGACACAGGGAGCGAGGCTCACTGGGAGCCTCCATGGAGTCAGCTTCAATGCTGACGGCAATGTCCCTGAGCAGCTGGCCCAGGACGTACGTCTCTGTCATTCTTGCCGCAGAGGTGGAGAAAGGGTCCAGTGGCTTGTTTGTGTCTTGCAGCAGGAAGCTGGCTGGTCCAAAGGGCTGGAAGAGGATTGGCTGGCTGGAGTTCCGCCTCCTGCACTACGCGGGGGAGGTCACCTACAGCACCAAAGGTGAGTGGAGGAGGTTGTGAGTCACAGCCACAGGGGTGCACGCCGGTCACCAGGTCCTCCAAGGAAACACTATCCGTGGCCACCCCAAAGTTCCTTAGTGTTGTGTTCAAGCATGCCACATGAAAGGCTTTTCTTGTTTTGTTTATTATTTTAGATATAACCACCAATTTTTAAAAACTAAGTATTCATACACCATGTAGTTCATCCATTAATGTGTGCAACTTGAGGGTTTTAGTGTATTTAGAGTTGTGTAACTGTACACTCAATTTCCTTTTGGACACACTACCCTTTCCCATGCCCTCTACCCCTCCCCCACAGTACTAGAGAATTAAGTAAGTAATATACTTTCTAACTCCACAGCCTTCCTGTCATGGACTGGAGAATCACCCATGTGGTCTTTGGGAGTCTGCCTTCCCTCATTTAGTATAATGTTTCAAGGTTCTTCCATGTTGCCATTCTTTTTCACTGCTGAGTAATATTCCTTTCTCTGGATAAGCCTGTCTATGTTCATCTTTTGGTAAAGTGTTCAGGGTGCTTATCCTTCCAGCCATGGTGAAAACTGACAGTCGGAACTGTCATTGCCTGTATACTCCCATCCCCCAGCAGTTCCAGATGCCCTGTCACTGAGATATTCCCTCAGCCCCTTTATGGGAAGTTTTAGAATGTTGAGACAGTCTCGCAAGTTGCCCAGGCTGGCTTTGACCTTGCCATCTTCCTGCCTCGGCTCCTGGAATAGCTGAGATAACCTGGCTTGCTTTTGCTTTCCTGGATAGATAGTGAGGAAGTGCCCTACTCAGTGTTCTGAGGAGCCTCCTCAACACCACAGCCCTAGCTTCTCCACATTCTGCCCAATACCCATAATGCTCTGCCAGCCGCTCTCTGGGCAGGTGTGAAGGCCTGTCCTGTGGTTCTCCCAGAGGTGGCTGATGCCAAACACTCCTCATACCAGTCATTTGCATATCTTCCTTGAAGAAATGCCTGTTTAGATACTTTGCCCATTAAAATGTATTGTTGAATCTCGAGAGTTCTTTATATATTCTGGACACTGGACCTTTTGTCAGATATAGGATTTGCCGATATTTTCCCCAGTTCTGAGAACTGACCTTTCTCTTTATCAATGGTATCTTTCAAAGCACCAAAAAGTTTGTCACTAAGAATCTTTTAAAAGCCAGGCAGTGGTGGCGCACAGCTTTAATCCCAGCACTGCCCAGAGGCAGGCGGATCTCTGAGTTCCAGGCCAGCCTGGTCTACAGAGTGAGATCCAGGACAGCCAGGGCTACACAGAGAAACCCTGTCCCCAAAAAACCAAATTAAGAATAGGCTGGCTCTGTGGTGTTTACAGAATTAAAGTGGCAGTCAGGTGAGGCTAGAAACCAGCTATGGTACAGGGCACACAGACAGAAGGGAAGTCACTTTCTGCTCCTAGCCCCTCCCCCGAGGCAATCTCAAGATCCACACTTCCTGTCAGTACTTCTGAGAGAGGCCTTAATATCTGCCTACAAAGGTCGGAACACATGCTCCTCTGCATTGTGTAGTTTCATCTGTGTGACAAACGCTGGAGTCTTGGGCCCCACTCACATCCTCTGGGTTTACCCCCCCCCCCCCCCCCCCCCCCCCGGGGCAAACACGGTCCCAGGTTTGGTGAGAGGAATGCCATTGTCCCTGAGCTCACTCCAGGTGTCACGGTGTCTCTTGGAGTCTCAGAGCCAGGTTCTATTAAAAGCGAGCTTTGACCATTTCTGGGTATAGGGGTAAAAGAATTGGGGGAACACGGAGCAGATGCATTTGTCCACCCAGATCTGAGGCAGCAGCATTCACTATACAGCCAGGAGCTGGAAGCCACAGGAGTAGACAAATAGCAATGTAACACGGTGGATACGCAGTGGAACTTAGACAGGAGGGAGATTCTGACCTGGAACAAGATGCAAAGGAGAAGAGGTCGGTCACAAAGTGTGACCCAAGCGAGGGGTCTACAGGAATCAACTCCACAGAGGCACAACGGGCCGGGGAGCGGCTAGCTCCAGGTACAGGGTTTTTGCCTTGGAATGTTTACAAAGTCCCAGGTGGTGATGGCTATGTGGGTGGCCTTAAAGGTGCTGAACTGTGCACTTAGTTACTGTGGTCTCTTTGTGTGTATGTGTTCATGTGTGGGTGTATGCATGTGTGGGTGTGTGCATGTGTGGAGGCTGGAGGAGGTCATCAGGAGTCCTTAATCACCCTCCACCTCATTTTTTTAAGACAAGCTCTCACTGACCCTGGAGCTCACTGCCCATTCAGTCCTAGGAGTACAGGCTTGTGCCACCACACTTGGATTTTACATGGGTGCTGAGGATCCCAAACTCAGGTCACCCGGAGTCATCACCCACATGTGGTGAATCTTGCATTTTACCAGAATAAAAAGGCCTGTTTTGAGAACTCACAATCACCATCTGAGAAGCTGCTTATCGGGCATTTTCTATATGGCTTTTTGACGCACAGCATTTGTGGCTGGTTTTACTTATGTCATGCAATCCCTGGGTTAGCTACAAGCCAATGAAGATTTTTGTTTGTTTTTGAGACACGGTCTAACCGTAGAATCCTAGCTAGCCTGGAACTTGCAGGGATTTGCCTGTCTCGGCCTGGGGAAGGCTGGAATCAAAGGCCTGTGTCACAACTCCCGACTCTTAAGTGTACCACTTAAGGCCAGTTTTTTGAATGATACAAGTAAAGATGTCAGTCTGGAGGTGTGGCTCAGTGGGTAGCGTAGTGGCCTAGCATGTGTTAAGCTCTGGGTTCAGTCTTTGGCACTGTTTAAACCAGGCATGCTGATAAATGCCTATAATATCAATGCTTGTTGGGTAGAGGCAGGAGGTTCAGCTACATAATGAGCTGGATGCCAACCCAGGCTATAAGAGACCCAGCTAACAAAAAATTAAAAATCAAGGGAGAAAGGCCTGACATCATGACTTACACCTTTAATCCCAGCACTCTGGAGGCAGAGGCAGGCAGATCTCTGTGAGTTCTAGGCCACCTGGTCTATGTAGCGAGTTCCAGGCCAGCTGGAGCTGCATGTAGGACTGTGTCTCAACAAACAAATGAATCCAAAAAACCAACTAGGGTGTGGAAAAGGACACCACTGGTGTTTGCCTTTCTCAGTGGGGCTGATTTTCCTAAGTCACGTGGTCTCAGCTGGCCACCCTGGGGCTCAGTGCCCTCCCGTTTCTGTGGGTCATAGGTCATTGCTACTGGATCACTTAGGCTCAAGGCCACACATCACACACCAGCCTGCTGTAAATTCCCTCTGAGGACCTGGCTCTCAGCCTGGGAAGTTGTTCCCTAGAGAATCTGGCACTCTAGAATTATATAAGGAGGGTGTCTCCCCAGAATGCTTGGCTCTGTCTGGAGGTATGTAGGGGAGTGTCCCCCATGATGTCTGGCTCTGTATGTGGACATGGTGTCCCCTATGATATCTGGCTCTGTCTGGAGGTATGTAGGGGAGTGTCCCCCATGACGTCTGGCTCTGTATGTGGACATGGTGTCCCCTATGATATCTGGCTCTGTCTGGAGGTATGTAGGGGAGTGTCCCCCATGACGTCTGGCTCTGTCTGATGTGTACTGTTGCAGTTAGGGGGACGTGCTCCTAGCGTGAGTTGAGGCCTGGGTGGTGCTCCATGCTTAACACACAGCACAGCTCACAGCTTACTGCTGGGATCCAGCCCCGGTCTCAGTATTGAGAAGGCTGGGAAACCCCATGCAACCTCAGACACCTTCAGGATGTGTCTCAGCGATCGGTCAGTGTGGCATCACATTGACTAGGACTTTTTTTTTTTCCAAACAGGATTCTTGGAGAAAAACAACGACCTGCTTTACAGACACCTGAAGGAGGTCGGTTTGAATCTTCATCCCACATAGTTTTAATAGGACATAGCCTGTGACAGAAATCAGTGGCGGCTCTTGGATTTCTGGAACTTTCTTATCTATGCATTAGGTCAGTCTGTAATCCTCCCTAGCACTTGGGAGGCAGGGGTAAGAGGACCAGGAGTTTGACGTCCTCCTCAGCTGCACAGGGAGTTCTCGGCCAGCCAGGACTACACCAGACCTGTCTAAGAAAACCAACAGAGAATTTCCTGTGTTAAGGCTGAGTGACATTCTGTTAGATAAATACAAGCACATTTTTTTTTTCATAGTCCTAATTTTATTAAATTAAGGAGTTCTTCCAGATATGGTGGCTCACACCAGTAACCCCAGCACTCAAGGGGCGGGGGGAGATGGGAGGATCTTGAGTTCAAGGCCAGCCTGGGCGATCTAGTGAAACTGTCTAAAAGATAAAAACCAGAGTCAAAGATGAGAACAGGCGAAGACAGGACACAGAGACAGGCTGGGGCTCGGACTGAGCATGTGCAAGGCACCAGGTACCCTCTGTAAACAAGAATAAAAGGGGCGTGCATTTTTCTTATAACACATTATTTTGAAAACTGATGGAGCAGGACCAGGTAATGCAAAGCCTAGTGTTTGACTTTATGCCACCATGTCTGTCCCCTGAAAGCCAGCATCTGCCAGTTTCTGAGCCACCACCCTCCAGACAGCTGAGGCCAGGCTGCGTGTCCCCCCCACCCCCGTTTCCTCCCCCTGCACTGCACCTTGGCGGTCCCTCACTCCCACCCTCTTACTGATTGTCCGTAGGCTGGTTTGTTCCATAGCACTAAGCTGGGCTGGGGACAACTCTTGCGTCATCATGGTAGGGAAAACTAGATACATCCGAAAGTCCACAGGCAAGGGCGGCAGCATCTGAACATCAGCTCCTAGTGTGCTCTTTGGCGATGTCGAGCGTGGAACCCAGGGTCTCACGTACGGAGGCGAGCCGGCCCCCAGCCCCAGCCCCTTTCCCCATTTGTCCTTCTTCCCACTCTGTTATAGCGAGGAATGTCTCCAAGAGCCCACGAGCAGGTGGCTCTGCTGTCCCCTGGCCTCTAGGGATTCCCAGAGCAGCGAGCTCAATGCCGGCCCTCTTCACACAGGTGCTGTGCGGGTCCAAGAACAGCATCCTGAGGGAGTGTTTCCTGGTGGCCGAGCTTGAAAACCGGAGGCGGCCACCCACGGTGAGCCCAGGGAGAGGCTGGTGTGAATTTGGCAAGGGAACAAAAGTCTCAGGGGACAGTGACCACTCCATACCTGCCCCTCTGAAGCCTCCCCCTCTCCCCTTTCTGTTAACAGATAACTACAAAATGTGTGTGTGTAAGCTTTGTGTCAGTTCATCCCATTGCAGACATGCACTGTGCCGGGCTGGGGGTTCCCTGCCCTCAAGGGGCTTACAGTCTGGGAGCGAGAGAATGTGAGAAAAAATCACCAGATAAAGAAGGGACTAGGAGACCTGGGGGAGGAGACAGAGGGGACTGGACCCAGTGGTGGCTGGCTCCGTGAGGTGTCTGCATTTGTGAGTCAGCTTTCCCACACTGTGACAAAATCCTCGAAGAAGACAGCTTAAAAGTTGATTCAGAGCCGGGCGGTGGTGGCGCATGCCTTTAATCCCAGCACTCGGGAGGCAGAGCCAGGTGGATCTCTGTGAGTTCGAGGCCAGCCTGGGCTACCAAGTGAGTTCCAGGAAAGGCACAAAGCTACACAGAGAAACCCTGTCTCAAAAAACGAAAAAAAAAAAAAAAAGTTGATTCAGTTCCTGTCTTTAGAGATTGCGCTCCCATGGCCTCTTGTTGTGGGTGGCATGGCACACCATGGCAGAGAAGGTGTGTGGAGCACACACAAAGGATTGGGGGAAATGTATCCTTCAAAAGACAACTTCAGTAACTTATTTCCTCTGATGAGGCCCCGCCTTTTAAAGAACCCATGCTCTTCCGAAAGACCCACCAACCCCAGCACCCATGAGCTCTACATCTTTCAGTGAAGTTGGAGACCTCCAATCACTGTCAAAGCTGCTGCACAGGACCCATGGCTCCAGGACATGGGCCTTTGAGGGACATCTCAGACCCCAGTCATTACACTGTGGCTATACCCCATGGTGAGGAGGCCGGGTGGATGCTCGCCTGAGCAGGGAACCGAGCTTCCCAGGCACAGCACTCTCCCTGAGCAACATCCCCGGCCTCTCTCTCCACATTTCTGTGTTTCATCCACTCTCTCTTAGTTAGGAAAATCTTCATGTCCCTCAGAAGCCAGTGGCTCTTGTCCGGCAAGCCCCCCAGCAATGGGAACTGACCTTCCCAGAACAGGGCATCCACAGCCTCCAGTCAGAGGGCAGAACTAACAGGCAGAGTTCAGGCCTGCAGGCTGGAGCCTCACGCCGTGCTCTGTCTCCAGAGTTCAGTCAGAAGCAGTGTGCATACTCCGTGTGTTCTCACCACACAGGTGGGGACTCAGTTTAAGAACAGCCTGAGTAGCCTCCTGGAACTTCTCATCTCCAAGGAGCCGTCGTACATCCGCTGCATCAAGCCCAACGAGAGGAAAGAGCCCAGTGAGTCAAGTTCCCTGAGCCCAGAGCTCGGGATGGGGGAGCAAAGCGGTGGAGGGGGGGCATAGGTAAAGAGCCTTAGCCACCACAGCCTCGTCCCTGAACATGAACTCTTGTCCTTCTCAAACCATAGGAGGAGGCCAGGATATGGCTCAGGGGGTAAAGCGCTTGCCTTGCAATTGTGAGGATCTGAGTTCAAATCCCCAGCACCCACCTAAAGACAGACACGGTGACCCATGTCTGTAATGGCAGTGCTCCCATGGAGAGATGGGGTGGGAGGCTGGGACGGAATCCATGGAAGCTCGTGGGATAGCCTGGTGTCCCAGTGCACAGAGCAAACGAGATCCTGTCTGAAATAAGACAGGAAGTGAGGACTAACACTTGAGGTTGTCCTCTCACCTACAAGTGTGTGTGTGTGTGTTCATGTGTATATGAGCATCTTTTCTGAGCTGGACATGATGGCACACCTTTAATCCCAGCACACAGGAAGCAGAGGCAGGCAGGGTAGGGCGGGGGAAAGAAAAAGAAATAACATAGTAGAAAAGAAAAAGAACAGCAGATGATAGACATATTGAGAAGGATGTCCCTGATGGTCCAGAGGAAGCGAGCGCCGCTCAGAGCCTGGTGATGCCGGGCAGGTGTCCAAGGTGGCAGATGGCAGCAGAGTTCTCTGCAGCCGTGAACAACCGTCCACAACGGTCTGCGACTGTCGGGCGCTGTCTAGGCTCTCCACGCAGAGCCCTGGCAGCTGGTGCGCTTGTGAACGGAACATGCGTAAGGTGACGGGGCCTGGAGTGTGTTCTCCCTAGAGAGGTGACGACAGTCACCTTCAGACAGTTGTTGCCACGTGAGATTCTGAGCTGCATTAGCAGATCTCGGGATTGTTTTATCAGGAGGAACTAGAATTGCCTACCAAATCCCTCCACCTAAGAAACCCAGCTGAGGCCTGATAACAGGTTTCTGTGGCTCGACCCAGCCTGGAGCAGCAGCCTGGAGCCTTGGGTTAGTTCTGCTGAGGGAGCTTTTCCGTCACTCTTCTCTTCTATTTCTCCAAAGGCAAGTTTGACGACTTCCTCATCAGCCATCAGATCAAGTACTTGGGGCTAATGGAGCACCTGCGTGTGCGGAGGGCGGGCTTCGCCTACAGGCGCAAGTATGAGCATTTCCTGCAAAGGTGAGGATCGCTTTGAGCCTCAGCCCTTAGGGCTGGTCTGCGGGAGACAGTGTGGCCAATCAGATGGCATTCCCTTGGGAGCTGGGATCAGATCTGAAGCGTGAGAGCTGTGAAATAAAAAGGCACTAACATTTGTTCTCCTGTAAAACCAGGACCCAGTTTCTCATCTTCTATTGAGTTCTCTAAGCCCTAACTCAACTTCCTGCAGTCTCGGGGAGAGTCTGGGCACACAGACCTGCTGGGCACCCAGGGTGCACTATCCAGACCTCTAAGGGTTAGTGCCCATGTGCTGGGCTGGGAAGGGCAGTGGGCACAATGATGAAGATGCCGTGGAAGAACCGGCTTCGAAACACCCGGACAGGTCAGAATGCTCCCGAGCCTCACAGCTGTGACCCTTACCCACAGCAGGAGTTAAAGTGTCAGGTTTTTATTAGTGCCACACCCACTATGGCTTTGGTGACTGGCAGCACATGACCGACCGCTCTACAAGATGGCAATGCACTCTTGGGGTGAGAATCCCAAAGCGGCCGTTTTTCATTAAGTCAAAACGCTTGCACTGCTGGCTGTTCCAGAACATTCAGCCCATGCATTATGAGGCTTCTTTTGAGTTGAAGCATCGTGGGCCAACCAAAGCATTTCCCGCCACCCTTTCCCTGTGGTTCCCAGCTGTGCCTCCACTGCCTGCTGTCTACCTGTCATCAATGCTCACCTAACCTGTTTTTCTTAATCTGGCATCAGGGGAAGAAGTTGGGAGGTCACAGCCACGGCCCACTGCATCCTCAACACAGGCCTGACATTTCTGCCTCATCCTCTCTGATGTTTCCGCCATGCCTCCTCATCTGTATATATTGGGGAGGGCGGGCTGAGGAGATGGCTTAGGGGAGAACGTGCTTGCTGCACTACTGAAATCTTCCCAGGGGCCTGCCCTGAGAAGATTTCTCCCAGGGTCCTGGGGAAGACGCTATGGCCGGCATGGGGTATTCTGAGGGAAAAGAATCTATGTACACTGTGTTCTTTCATCCGTTTACTTTATTTCTCTAAGACAAAATTGTATCTCCACGGCTTCAGTTCCATCCTCACACTCAGCTCCTCTCTGTTCCTCCTTTTCCTGTCCTCTCATAGCCCTAACGGAGCTCTTCTGCTATCGATGTCATTTTCGTCCTCTTTTCCTTCCTCTCCTGCTCTCCTGACCTGACTCCTACTCTCTCCAAAAGTTCTGCCTTGTTCCTCCTTCTCCTGCCATGCCACTCTAACCCTAACCCCGGAGTCAGGAATCCTGCCCCAGACTTTACTACACCTCGTTATGCAAAAAACTCTTTTGTTCTGAGTCAATTGCTCTGGAATGCCATTTGGCCTGTCTGGGGAAGGAAGGTCTGAGCTTCATTTGTACAAGAAACAAAGCTATGCATCTGCACATCTGCCTGTCTCCTAGGCTTAGGAGATAGGCATTGTCTCTATAAGGGTGTACCTAGTTCAGATGAGCAGTTCGGTCTGAGAAGCTTACACCACCATTTGCTGTTGTGGCCTAGTAGTATATGAGCACACAAGAAATTCATAGCAAGAAGCAGCTGAATATTAAAAGCTGGATAACACTAAATATTCCTTGATATATGGCTTCCCTCTAGAAGGATTCCTTGACCTTTCTAGGTGTAGCTTTATTATACACAGCTGAATCTCTATTACACATTCTTGCAGCCCGCAGCACTGCACAAGTGTGAGAACCAGAGCTTTGATCCCCAGCCTGCACCCACATAAACGCTAGGCAGGTTTAACAGCCCACTTGGAACCCCAGCACTCAGGAGTCAGGGATGGGATTCCCCCGGCAAGCTGGCTATCCAACTCAGCAGACTGTGAGTTCAATGAGAGCCCCTGCCTCAGTGAACAGTGAAGAGAAACAGAAAGACACCCAGCGTCTGGCCTACACACATGCACACACACACACACACACACACACACACACACACACACAGTGCATACATGCCCATGCCCTCTTGTGCCCACACACTTGTGTACACACTCATGCACACGAACTCACGTGAAATCCTCACGAGTCCCAAGCATGGCGGTTTTGTTCCCCATGTGTGAGCACATCTGTTGCCTGTCCAGCCATCCAGTGATAAAGAGCGAGGCTGTCCCACTTTGGGCTGTTAGGAACAATGCTGTACAAGGCTATGTGGCCCCTGGGTGCAGCTCTTGGATATATACATAGGAGTGGGACTGAGTCATCTGGCTGAGGGCCCAGCGATGGCTCTGCTGGGAGAAACACTTCCTCATTTCTTTCATGCCCTATATGCATTGCTGAGACAATTGCACTCTGAGTGGCTGATACACTACAAGGGGTCCAGGAGACCTCTGGGGGTGTTGTGGAGTGTAGATGTAAAAGTCTTATTAAATAAGAAACACAGAGCCAAATGCAGAGTTAAAGGCCCAAGAGGTCAGAGCAGTAGCTGAGAGCTGATACTAAAAAACCTTTCTTACCCTTTGCTGCCACTGCCGTCCTTCCCCTGAGAAAAAGACCTACTTCCTGTGTATCTGTCTTTTTATTGACTTTCTGTTCTGCCTTCTCATTGGTTGTAAACCCAACCACATGACCTCCTCGTCACTGCCTGTCTATACATACCTCCAGGTCTTCTATGGTTGGTATTGAGATTAAAGGCGTGTGTCTCCATGCTGGCTGTATCCTTGAACACACAGAGATCTGTCTGTCATGTGATCGGGATTAAAGGCGTGTGCCATCACCGCCTGGCTTCTGCTATGGCTTGCTATTAGCTCTGACCCCCAGGCAACTTTATTTATTAACATACAAATAAAATCACATTTCAGTACAAATGAAATATCACCATAGTGGAGGGCAGTGCAGGGTGTCCTGATGGCTTCTATATGTCCTTCTCCATTCCCGGCAGGTACAAGTCTTTGTGCCCAGACACCTGGCCACATTGGCACGGACCCCCAGGAGAGGGCGTCGAGCGGCTGATCAAGTATATCGGCTACCAACCTCAGGACTACAAGTTAGGAAAGTAAGTGGCCAGGAAAACCCCAAACTGTCTCTGCCCTGTGCTCAAAGATTCCATGTGCTGATCTGCACGGAACAGGCATGTCCAGCCTTCAACATGGAAGTACAGTGCTGCCGTCTACCAAGTTTCACTGAGAACTGCTCAATTGAAATGGAAAAGAAAATTCTTATTCACAGGTGTTCGTGGCTGCACGCTGTCAAAGAGTCGGACATGCCTGGTATTGTCTCATGTTTTTTTTTTTTGGAGACTGTTTGCAAGCCAGTTCTGCTACCCACTAAGTTTAAATGTAGCTGAGTGGTTCCAGTGAGAATCAGTGGTTGAAAATAAGTCAGGTGTTGTAAGTCTGGCTCCACTGCTGGGCGGAGCCTCTGCCCACGAAGTAAAGAGGGGGCAGGGTAGGGCCCTGCCTGCGCTGGCCGAGCTTCTCTTGATGCTCAGCATCTCCCAGAGAGCTAACTTCATCTTGCTTCACTCTTAGCATCCCAGAATGGCATTCTAGAACGCCGGGTACCACTCTAGGATCCAGCATCCGGAGCAGAGATCTTCCCCATGTGTTGAATACTTTCAGGCACTCACTCAGATTAGCCAGGGTGGCTTGGTTCTATACTGTTAGTCATTCTGGTCAGAGTTAGTGTGGATGCAAAGAACTGTGTTCAGCCCTCAAGAGGACCAGTTCTTACACAGCAGGGCCTGCCTGCTTCAGGGATCCCTGCCCCTGGATCTACCAGTGAGCTATCTGCCAGCTCCGGCCCAGCTAGTATCTCTCTCTGTTTCATTAATCCATCCATCCACATCCCTGAGAGGGCCACACACATCTATCCCCATTCTATAACCCTGGAATTGGCATCACGGGGCATGGTGTGCTGTGCGCCCCCCTCCCCAGTAGCTTGCTCTGGGACGTCTCCAGCACAAGGCACTGTGTAGTTGGTGCCTCTTGTCATCCCTCCTGAAGGCCCAGAAGCATAACTGTAAGCAACTTCAGGTAGCATGGTGGATTCACTCTCTAGGGCTACATAAAAAGTCACCAGAGCAGGCCAGGCGGTGGTAGTGCATGCCTTTAACCCCAGCACTCAGGAGGCAGAGGCAGGGGGATCTCTGTGAGTTCCAGGCCAGCCTGGTCTACAGAGTGAGTTCTAGGCCAGGCTCCAAAGCTACACAGAGAAACCCTGTCTCACAAAACCTAAATAGATAGATAGATAGATAGATAGATAGATAGACAGATAGATAGATAGATAGATAGTCACCAGAGCAGAAATGCATTCTCTCAGAGCTCAGGGTCCACTATCAGGGCATGGGCAGGCTAGGCTCTGTCTGGAGGGCCTTCGCCACGTCTGGAAGTTCCAGCAGGTTCCTGGCCTGCCTTAGCCGACAGCACCACACCTGCCTGGTGGTTCCCGTGTCCTTTTCTAGCTCTTACAAAGGACACTGACCTGGATTTAGGACCTCCTCTAACCTACTGTCTCCCCTCCACCCCTACTTTAGTCACATCCGAGGAACGGCCACTCCCCACAGTCACCTTCTAGAGTTCTGACTGGACATGCACTGGGGGGGGGGGGCACTCCCCAACCATCGTGGGGGCAACTGACCAATAATTTTTACATGTTTCTTTTTGCTTTTGCTAGAACCAAAATATTCATTCGCTTCCCCAGAACCCTGTTTGCTACCGAAGATGCCTTTGAATTTAGTAAACATCAATTAGGTATGATTTTTTTTGTCCTACTTTCAAGAGAAACGAACAAGTTTAACCAGGGAGAGGGTGAAGAGAAACCTCAAACATGGGTGTCTGATGTGTTCAAAGACCTCACTCACTTAAGAACCAGGGATAAGACGTGGGGTTATGGGATGCCTCTGGACTGATGGGCTCCGAGGGCAGGTGTAGACATGTTACATGTCCAGGGTGTCTCATTCTATGATTGCACCCTTAAGGCACACCGAAGTGTAAAGTCACGGGAGACCCGCGCCCTCAGTCCAGGCTTCACAACTTCTTTTATGTATCTGATGGCAACAGGCATGCCTTCAAAGCCCACGGCCAGGGTGTTTTTGTGAATGGCAAATGGCAGGAGTTGGATGGGGGAGCAGGTACTTCTCTCACCGGAAATCTTAGGTTGTCTGAGCTCTGCGCACACCAAACAGCTGGGGTCCTTGCTCTGTGCCATGTGCACCACGTCCAACAGATGTATTCCCAGACCAAGCCTGTGGGTAGGCTCTGCTGCTCCCAATTCACGTTCAGTGGTGCTGAGACACAGGTAAGCTGCTGAATATCACATGGCCGGTCTGCAGCAGAGCCGGGCTTGAACCTGGGCCAGTCTGGTTTCAAGGTTTGACCATTACACACGCTACCATTGAGACACTCATGGCCACCCACCTGGCTGAGATGTAGGCACTGGCTTAGCCAGGCTCCAGGGGTTTGGATCAGCCACTTCCTAGAGGCTGTGCTGTGCTGGTGTGTAAGGCTCTCCGTGAACTTGGCCTCTGGTGGGACCTTTCATTATGTGGAGGGGGTGATGAGGGCTAGAGCTGAGGGGTGTCCTGGGGTTCCCACTGCTCAGTGTGGCATCCTCCTGAGGCCGACAGACATCTGTATCTGAGCCTGTGTGCTTCCTTTTGAGATGTGCCGATGCCCTTCCCATCTTGTGGATGGGTTGTGAGGATGAGCTGGGCACTGTTACCCTGCTCCTCTTCCCCGTGGAAGGAAAGAGAATCATACGGGGAGCCAGGCCCAGTGGGACCAGCTGCTCCTGTCTTCCCCACACTCAGCACCGAGAACGGCTCACTGCAGGCTCTGGGGGCCCACTCTGGGGGTCGGTCCCTCCTGCTTCTGGAAATCGTGATCATAATCACAGAAGCCAATTCACCAAAACTTTTGTTTTATTTTAAGTTTCAAGAATCCAAGCCACATACAAAGGCTGCCTGCGAAGGAGGGAATATGTGAGGAAGAGACAAGCAGGTGAGGCCTGGGCAGAAGAGTGGGGGACGAGCCTCCCTCTGCCCACCCATCCTCACACCCTCCCTCTGCCCACCCATCCTCACACTCTCCCTCTGCCCACCCCATCCTCACACTCTCCCTCTGCCCACCCATCCTCACACCCTCCCTCTGCCCACCCATCCTCACACCCTCCCTCTGTCCACCCCATCCTCACACCCTCCCTCTGCCCACCCCATCCTCACACCCTCCCTCTGCCCACCCCATCCTCACACCCTCCCTCTGCCCACCCCATCCTCACACCCTCCCTCTGTCCACCCCATCCTCACACCCTCCCTCTGCCCACACCATCCTCACACCCTCCCTCTGTCCACCCCATCCTCACACCCTCCCTCTGTCCACCCCATCCTCACACCCTCCCTCTGCCCACACCATCCTCACACCCTCCCTCTGTCCACCCCATCCTCACACCCCTCCCTCTGCCCACCCCATCCTCACACCCTCCCCTCTGCCCACCCATCCTCACACCTTCCCTCTGCCCACCCCATCCTCACACCCTCCCTCTGCCCACCCCATCCTCACACCCTCCCCTCTGCCCACCCCATCCTCACACCCTCCCTCTGTCCACCCCATCCTCACACCCTCCCTCTGTCCACCCCATCCTCACACCCTCCCTCTGTCCACCCCATCCTCACACCCTTCCTCTGTCCACCTCATCCTCACACCCTCCCTCTGTCCACCCCATCCTCACACCCTCCCTCTGTCCACCCCATCCTCACACTCTCCCTCTGTCCACCCCATCCTCACACCCTCCCTCTGTCCACCCCATCCTCACACCCTCCCCTCTGCCCACCCCATGCTCATACCCTTGTCTGGGGCCAGCTTAGACCTAATTCTGCAATCATGGCATATGGCCTATACTTGTTCCATGCACAGATTTTATGTAGTAGAACATTTTAAAGTGTGTTATTTTTATGTTGCATTTGTTTAACTCTGTGAAGCTGTGTTACTGTGCCTGTCTAAAACACCTGATGGTCTAATAGAGAATTGGCCAATAGTGAGGCAGGAGAAAGGATAGGTGGGGCTGGCGGGCAGAGAGGGATACATACAAGGAGAACACTGGGAGAAGAGACGGAAGGTCGAGCAGCCACCCAGGGGCCAGCCACCCAGCTACACAGCAAGCCATGGAGTAAGAGTAAAATTTACAGAAGTAAGAAAATGGGAAAAGCCCAGAGGGAAAAGGTAGACGGGGTAAGTTAAGGAAAGCTGGCTAGAAACTAAGCCAAGCTAAAGCTGGGCATTCGTAAGTAAGAATAAGCCTCCATGAGTGATTTATTTGGTAGCTGGGTGGCAGCCTCCCCCGCCCCCCCCCCCCCGCCCCCCCCCCCCCCCCCCCCCCCCCCCCGCCAATGAGCAAAAACCTCCAACAATAATTTTACATGTAAATAATGTGTCAGGTACTTGTGCTCATTTGTGCTTGTGGAAGCCAGGAATATTTTCGATGTGTGGGTCGTACAGTCTCCACAGTTACTCAGCTCTGCTGCTGCTGACTCGGAATTGCTTTAGGCAGTATGCAAATGAGCAGATGTAACTGTTTATCACAGTAAAACTTTGTATGAATGGGCAGCTGGTCTTTAGATCACAGTCTGCCAGCCCTGGGCCCTGAGTGCTGGAATGTTACCTCCAACAGAAACTCTGCTAACCCGAGGAAGAAAGGCATTTTGAAAATCCAGAGAAACACACACACATATACACACATACAAATATAAATACACACACATACACACACACACACACAGAGACAAGCCAGGCCCTAATTTTTCATGTCCCTGTTTGTTTATGAATCCATCTTTGAATGTGGCAATTGAAAGTCGGCACTGGATTCGAGAAACTAAACACGGGGCTAAGACTAGTCCATAGTCCCCAGCAGGAACCTCAGGACTGTCCCTCCTGGAACTTTCTGCTTCCACAAAGGTTCTCTCAGCCTCTGCTGTCACCCTGCTCTGAGCAGCAGGCATGAAATGACAGGGTGCACCCCACTTTGCACCTCTGGGCCCAGCAGAGCCCTCAGGTGGGCAGACATGTGCTGAGTGGATGGAACCTTCTGGAAAAGCCTTCTGTATTTCTGCACGATTGTCCCACCTTCTAATGGCAGCAGTGGACTCTTTTCAGCCACCAAGTTAGAAGCCCACTGGCGCGGAGCCCTGGCTCGCAGGGAGATCAAGAGGAGGAGGTGGGCTGTGCAGATCATCCGGAGGTAAGGTCTCAGCGTGATGGGGACCAGCACGCTGCAGTGGTCACGGGCTTGGTGGGGTTTCTGTGGGTTTTGTTTTTCGAGACAGGGATTCTCTGGGTAGCCCTGGCTGTCCTGGAACTCACTCTGTAGAAGAGGCTGGCCTTGAACTCAGAGATCCTCCTGCCTCTGCCTCCCAGTACTGGGATTAAAGGGGTGCGCCACCACCGTCTGGCTTTCTGAGACTGTTTTTAAGGGTGAGGGGGTGTGTGTGTGTGTGTGTGTGTGTGTGTGTGTGTGTGTGTGTGTATGTGTATATGTAAACGGTGTGAGTGCATGCCAGGAGAGAGCCCTGGCTCTCTGGAGCTGGAGTGCGAGGTGTCTGTGAGCCGCCTGCTGTGGGTGCTGGGATTCGAACTTCAGCCCTGTGACTGAGCACCAAGTGCACTTAGCCATCTCTCCAGCTGTGGTTTTGGTTTGTACAGAAAGGTCTGCCCTCAGAGCATGCTGGGAATCTCAGCTGTCACAGCTCAGCTGAGTGTTGTGATATCCCTCAGTCCGATGACTTCCAGAGCCAGGCAGACAAAATGAGCAAGCGGGGATCAGACGAGGTGCTGTGGGGACTGCAGCCAATCAGGCGGCCATCTGTCACCGGTCTGCCCAGTGGAGAGGAGTCCAGCCAGCATGGCCAGCCTTCCTCTTCAGGGAGAACTGAAGTCTGGCTTTTATGTCATGCTGCTCATTTTTTTAACCGGCAACTAACTCCAGCTAGTTAGAACAGAAGGCGGTGTGGGTGGCCCAGAGCACGCTGCTGGGGCAGGTGTGGCAGGGTAGGGGTGCCACGTTACCGGTCCCTGGCCTGTGTGGCTGTGTAAACCACCTCTGTCACTTCCCTCTTAAGGTTCGTCAAGGGTTTCATCAACCGTGACAAACCCCTTTGCCCTGACAATGAGGAGTTTGTAGTGCTCGTCAGGAAGAATTACATCTTGAATCTTCGCTACCATGTGCCAAAGAGTGTCCTGGACAAGAGCTGGCTGAGGCCTCCGGGCATCCTGGAAAATGTAAGTCTAAAGCGGGCAGCTGTTACTTGCAGATGATGGGGCTCTGAGATCATACCTGCTGTGTGGCTCTGCTCTCTCTTTGGCTCGACAGGGCTGCTTTCAAAGGTCTCAGAATAAGTGGTATTCATCAGTGGGGTTATAACTCCAACAGACACTTATTTAGACAGAGCCTTTTCAAATACACGGGCACTTACTATATAGCCCAGACTGGCCTTGAACTTGTAACCTTCCTGCCTCAGCCTCCCAGGCAATGAGATTACAGACATGTGACAGCATACTCTGGTTTCCAACCATGCTGTAGCAGTCTTGAAGCTAAGTGATTGCCATGGGCTCCACAAAGAATGTACTAGAACAGTGGTTCTCAACCTCCCTAATGCTGTGACCCTTTAATCAGTTCCTATTTCGGTGATAGCCAACCATAAAATTATGTGTGTTGCTACTTCATAACTGCAATTTTGCTGTTATGAGTCATAATGTAAATATGCAGGATATCTGATAAGCAATCCCTGGGGTGGTGGTCATGTCAAACGATCCTTTTACAAAGGGATCATGCTGTGGATGATTGATTGATAAATAAAATGTTGATTGGCTAGTAGCCAGACAGGAAGTACAGGCTGGACAAGGAGAGAGGAGAGGTCTGGGAAGTGGAAGGCTGAGGCAGAGAGACGCTGCCAGCCGCCATGAGATGTTAAGATACTGGTAAGCCACGAGCCATGTGGCAACTTACAGATGAATAGAAATGGGTTAATTTAAGATGTAAGAACAGCTAGCTAGCAGCCTGAGCCATTAGGCCAAACAGCTTAAATAGCATAAGCGTCTGTGTGTTTATTTTATAAGTGGAGCACGGGACTTTGGGGGCTTGGCAGGACCCGGAGAGAAACTCTCCAGCTACAGGGTCATGACCCACAGGTTGAGAACTGCTGCTGTAGACTACAGTGGCAGCTACTGTAAGATTCCTGGGCTCCACCTCAGCCCGACTCTGTAAAGACTTTAGTCTCACAGCCTCCCCTTTAGTGGTTCTCCTCAAGTTCGCAAAATCTAGTTCGGTAGTGCTGACCTGCTGGAGGGGGGCCAGCGGGGAACGACCCGCCTTGAGGGAAAGATACTGATGTCCCACGAAAATCATGCCACCGTGTCTGGTCTTAAAAGCTGCCACGTGGGTCACCACAGCCCGAGGCAGGGAGGGAGTGTGAGGTGGGTGGGAAAGGAGTGTGTTCTCCCCACAGGCTTCGAATCTGCTCCGGAAGCTGTGCATGAGGAACCTTGTTCGGAAGTACTGCCGGGGAGTCTCAGCCGAGAGGAAAGCCATGGTAGGGCACAAGGCATGGCATCGGCATGGCGGTGGGGACCAGCCTTGTAAGTCAGATTATTAGTACTAAAGTCGACGTTTACCGTCCACCTCTGAGCCGAGGGCCACACTACTCCCATGACTTACAGAGGAGTTGAGAAGTATCAGCTGCTACAATCAGCATCTCTTGTTGTTACCATGGGAATAGAATCCAGATGGCCCCTGTACTGCATGAGGCAGGACTGCCTGTGTGTGTGTGCTAGAGGACTCTTACATGTCACTCTTTCTGTGAAGGGCTGCAGAGTCAATCTTTGAGGCTCCCTGGGCCATATGCCCTGTGGCGCCTCTGCTTTCTTGTTGCTATTAGAGCAGAAAGCCGTCACAGACACATATATGGAAATGCCATAGCTATGTGCCAATAATGCTTTACTTACAAATACATGCAACAGGCCACAACTGCCTCTGGGCTGGAGTTGCAGAGTTCTGGTCTAGAGAGAGATGCTCTTAGGGTTTCTATTGCTGTGAAGAGACATCATGACCAAAGTAACTCTTATAAAAAACATTTAATTGGGGTGGGCTTTCATTTTCAGAGGTTTAGTCCATTATCACCATGGTGTGACATGGTGGCATGCAGGCAGAGCTTAGAGTCCCACATCTTGATAGGTAGGCAACAGGAAGTGGTCTGTCTCACTGGGTGTGGCTTGAGCATATATGAGACCTCAAAACCCACCTCCACAGTGATGACACACTTCCTCCAACAGGACCACACCTCCTAATAGTGCTACGCCTTTTGGGGGGTCTATTTTCTTTCAAACCACTATACTCCCTGAAGCTCCGAAACCTCCACCCTGAGAAACCAGTATGAGTAAGGGTCCACCAAAGTATCAGCCCACGCTTCACCGGTGTAAGCTGTAGGGCATTTGTAACAAGACTCGTGTCTGAAAACAGCCCAGGGCCGCCTACTCTATGCTCTGAACTATCTGTTACCAGATGCAGCACAAGGTGGTCACGAGTGAAATATTCAAGGGGAAGAAGGCAGGGTATGCAGAGAGCCTAAACCAACCCTTTGCCAGCAGCCGGCTGGGTAAGTGTGCTGTCGGACAAGTCATGGGACCCAGCAGGGGGCAGGCCTTCCCCATGGGGCTGGTGACACTCCTGCTGTTCTGGTTCCTTCCCCAGATGAAAGCGACATAAATCCCAAAGTGCTTCAACTGCTCGGCAGTGAGAAAATCCAGGTATACCCACCTTGTGTGCGGCCTCCACCAAGACCCTTCTTATGTCTGAGGCCGGGGCGTGTTCTCCCCGTGAGTGTCTAGAAATGACGCTTAAACTCACGGGTGCAGCTGGGTTCGCTGGGGCCCCCCACTGCCACTCTGGGCATTAAGATTACCAGGTGGCATTTGCCAACAGAGGTCTACTGCCATTCCTGCATTCTGCCAGCCCCCAAACCATCCTGGTTTGCTTCTCTATGAAACTGAGATGTAGCCAGGACCTTTACAATGAGACACCATATTGGTGAGGGGCAGTAGACTGATGACCAGTATTGACACTTGTCTCTCAACACAGCCGCCAGGAGTTCCCAGGCGGGTTCTAATCATATGTGGCTTTGTGGGGTGGATGAGGGGGATGAGTGAGGCCCTTGCTCATGTGTTTGGTGGCTGCTCTCGCCTGCTTGGTTCTGGAAAAACACGAGAATGGAGATCCCCCCCCCCCCCCGGGACTATGAAAACCCAGGAGCCATGAATGCTCTCCTCTCAGAGCAGACCTGGGAGGCTGGAGCCGCAGCCTCAGTTTCCTCAGAGGACCGAGTCATAAGGTAGAACTCAGAATCAAAATCTTCCAGAACCAGGGCAGCAAAGCAAAGGCGTTCATACAAAAGCTGAGTCAGTCTGTGTGTCTGAGGCAGCACCACTGGATTCCAGGAGAGGCAGTCCCCTGCCCTCAGGTGAGGTGGCCTTCCCCTCCTGGTGATACCAACCACCTTGCAGTATGGCGTCCCGGTCATCAAGTACGACAGGAAAGGCTTCAAGGCACGTCAGCGGCAACTCCTCCTCACTCCGAGGGCAGCGTACGTGGTGGAACTTTCCAGAATCAAGCAGAAGATTGAGTACTCAGCCCTGAGAGGTGGGTGAGCGGTTTGAGAGTCTCTCATGTTCTGGGATGGGGTCACTGAGCTGTGGGGCTCAGTGAATGCACCTATCTGACCCCCCCCCCCCCAATGCTGGGGTTACAGGTACCTTCACTATGTCTCACTTTTATGTGGGTGCTGGGTATCCAAACAAAGGTCCTCATGCTTGGCCATCTCCCCAGGCCCCCTCTTCTTTATTAATGCCAACCTCTGGATCTCTCCTAAGGGGTCTCCACTAGCAGCCTGAGCGATGGAATCCTGGTTCTTCACGTTTCACCGGGGGACAAACAGCAAAAGGTAGCTGCAGCTTCCGGCCCCAGCGAGCTGTTGTGGCTGAAACTCAGTCGAACCCTGCGGAACCTCCATATTCAAACCACTCGTCCTGAACCCCCTGCCACCTGTCTCCACAGGGGGATGCCATTCTGCAGTGTGAGCACATATTTGAGGTCGCCACTAAACTGGCCATGCTGATTAAGAAGGAACATGCCGTCCGGGTTGTTCAAGGAAGGTAGGGGCTTACTCACCGTTACAAGGCTGCCAGCATGAGTCCCACCTGCATAAAGATGTGGTGTGTTGGGGGGGGAGGTCCCCCAATGGGGTCTAGGGGGTCCAGAGACTCCTTGCCTCTGTAGCAAATAACATTCCTTTCTCCACCCTGATCTTGGGCTCGGGGTAGACACAGAAGTCAGTATTGCTGACCTCAGGAAGTCACTGTCGTCTTCAGTTTTCAGAGAGGGTGCCGAGGTTTCTTACTGTCCCAGTGTGCCCAGAGGGTGCCTGTCTAGAAGCCCAGATATGGCCCTACAGGTGCTGATGGACTGAATGGCCAGCAGAAAGGCTGTTGTTTTGGGGGGTGTAAGAACTGGCACTGAGAGAGAATTGTCAATTCTCTCAGAGCGCTGGAACAGCCCCTTAGCTGTTCAATCCCCAAGCAAGGCCAGCTGAGGTCGGGTTACCCAGCATGCTGGAGGTGGAGTCCCAAGACTGGCCGTGAGACCGTGGGGAGGACTCCTGTTCTCGGCCCGAGTGCCCACGGCAACCTGCCGCTCTGCTCACAAAGCCCCTTCGAGCCAGCTGCTCCCGGACAGGGGACTGTCCTCTGCCCCAGCTTTTACCACCTAAGGGGTGAATCTGCAGGGAGGATGGTGAGGGAGTGCGTACTCTTAAAAGTGCATCTGCTCTGAATGAACTTGGAGGAATCCCTGGGCGGCTGTGACCGCCAGCAGGAGCCATGCAGGTCATTATGCATCAGCCGGCCCTTTAGAGAGCCGAACTGCTGAGCTGAGAGACTACAGAAGCATGTGGGTGCCCAACTGTCAGAATGTAGTAACAAACACCGGCTAGGATAGCTTGCCAAGGGAGTTTCTTTCGCAGGCTAAAGAGCACGACAGTAATTTGTCACTCGATGTATTTTAAGTTTACAGTTTTACATCAGTCCTGGGAAAGAAGGCACAATAGTTTTTGAGACTGGAGTGGAAGACCAGGTCTACAAGGACAAAAACGGACAGTTAACAGTGGTGAGTGGTTGCGTGGAAGGGAGGAAGTGCTGGAGGATCTGTATGTGCATGTAACAAACTGAGTCCATTTCCCCTCTTGTCCTCTGGAAGAAAGGGACCAGAGGGCACCTGAAATACAACCGTGAGTGAGAAGGATGGCCAGGTCTCACTTGTCATCAGTTGTCACAAGTATTAAAGCCCACCAAAGGCTCTCCTGTGTGCTCAGGTACCACCCTGAGCTGCAGAAGATCCTAGGTCTAAGGAGCCTCACGGGTTTGTGAAAACTGGAGGCTAGTTCTCACACACTGGTCACAAGGCCCTCCCCGCTCTCTCTGGGTCGTAGCAATCCGAGGATGATTTGGGGTGGTATGCTGTAAGGAGGCAACATGCTGAAAGCAGGTGGGATCTATGAAATGCATTTTCTGTATACATTTACGCTAATATGTAAAACCGGTCTGCGGGTATAAAGAGTTCACACGTACCTTTCACAACATAGTGGCCCTTCCCCACCCCGGTCAGAGACGAGTGAAGGTCCACTCTGAATGTGAGGTAGGCAATCTTTTAGTGATGTGAGTGCTGCCAGGACCCTGCAGCCACACAGTCCACCTTCTTCCATGCCTGCCCAAGGCTGAAGATGGGGCACTGCTAGGTTTCTCTGCGCTCCTTTCTAACCTGGCTGGTCCCTTAGGAGGTAGAGGGGGCTCCCAGTGGTAGCTCCCTCCTCCAGGGCTGAGGCTCTAAAGCCAGGTGCCCTTCTCCTCAGGTGTCGGCAGGGAAGAAGACCTGACAGAGGATGACCTTTGCCCCTTAAGGTCACTGTTTCTGTTCCAACTGAGCAACAAGCACGGATTTGATCCAGTTAGCCATGCCTTCAAGGACAGTGCCAGCAGCTCCTGGAGAATGGATTGCATCAGCAGAACCTGTGCTATATGGCAAAGCCAGACCTCAGCTGCTTGGGCGCCAGGTGGTAATGCATCAAATGTTTCCTGGGAGCCAACCCTGAGTCATCCACCTGTCCCCAGTAGAACCCATTACAGGGTGGGTGGCAGCCTTGGGAGTAAAGGAAATGTCATCGAGAGGCACAACTTCAATTCTGCTGTAAATGACACTTCCATGTTGCCAGGGACTGGGCCAGGTTTGCACAGGTGCTTTAGATCCTACAGGGTGTTCACATCCTCCTGAACAGACTGGACTGTGAAGTAGGAGGTGGGCCCTTGCTCTTTGCTGTACATCAGCAGCCCCGCAGACAAGCATTCCCGAAATGACCAGAGGCAGGTGTGAACAGAAGCACAGTTTAATGTTTACTTTACATGTGTCCACAGACGCTTGTACAACAGTGAGCATGTCTAAAGCTCCCAGGATTGTTTCCACAGTGCGGACAGGAAGGTTAGTGATGTGCTAACATGACCAGGGACTTTGGGCTGAGTACCAGCAGTGAGCAGCAGGTATGGGAGCTTGCACCTAAACGGGACGACAACTTACAGATCGGTCCAACAGCCAGCCCACCTTCCCCAGGAAGGCACCAGAAGGCTGTGTCAGGACCTGCTCGGGGTGTGGGCCCCAGATGCCACAAACACTGGACTTGGTTACCATGGACAAAAAGCTATTCCAATTTAATTGTGAGCCATTAATGTGCAATAAAAGTCACTCTTTACACCAAACCCAGGAGCAGTGATTCACTGGATGGCTCTGCACTGGAAATGCTGACTGCTGTCCGTCATGCTAGCCTGTGAAATGTGGAGCAGAGCTTTGGACCGACGGACACCGGGCCAGGCCCTGGCAGACGCAGCTGCCGGCGCTACCAGGCACCGTGGAAGGTTTGCCAGGCCTGGTCCTATCGCTGGGCGCGGGAGGTGCAAAGCTGTAGGCACAAGGTAGGAGGAAAGAGGAAGTAGAGAGAGCTGCCCGAACAGAAACCGTAAGGCGCAGAGGCCACGGCGAGTCAACTGTGCCGCCAACCATTCTGCACATGGACATTTCAACAGTGTATACAATGGCTTTTCCATTCCTACAGAAAACACCAGGACTGACATTCACGTTCACTTCCTAAAAGGTTGAACCCGAAGGGCAGGGCTGACACTGAAAATACACAGTAGAAAAACTCATGAAACATGATTTGTAAGCTCCCTTTCTCGGCTCTACATACAAAAGTTTTGCCACACCATTGTGTAAAAAGCATCTACCCGGTACACAGTTCCTCGATCCAGTCGGGATTGTTTGCTGCCAGATACAAGAGAAAGGTACACGACCGTCACGCACAAAGTGAGCTGTAAAAACCGTCACAAAATAGAAACTTTAAAAAACCTGACAGATTATCCACTTCATACCTTTGGTCTAAAAGAGTCACAATTCCTTCATCAAGCACTCGCCTCGTAACTAGTCTAGTCCCGACCACCCTGTCAGTCAGGCCTCACCTCTGCGCAGGCGCAGACAGGTAACGGGTGTGTCTCCTCACCAGCACCTGTGCCCCGCAGTTGCACGTCCTCACCAGCAGTCACACACATCCTCCAACACAGACAAGACTCAAAGGTAGCTGCACGCCCACTCTAGTCTGCAGAGAACTAAGAACTGAAGGGAGCGATAGAGAGCAGGGAAGGGCCCTGAGTCAGCCTGCAGGCTCCGGGCGGTGGCCCCAGATGGGGCCCACCGTGTCTGGGGCTGCAGGGAGCAGACCCTTAAGGCAGTGGTCTGGAGCAATGGCTGCAGGTGTTCAGATGACCTTCTGGGAAGTGTGTGTCAACAAGCCCAGCAACGGGAAGGACCCGGATGACAGCAGAGCCCACTGCCAGGGAACGGTCTGCTCCATGCCAGACAGGGGGGCTGGAAGCACACTCGGTCCCCTGTCCACTACTACAAGCTGAAACCGTCGGCCAATGAGCTCTCGTCCCAAAACCGTACAGAGCAGGCTCCCAGCCTCGTCAGAACACAGAACAGGCAGGGCCAGGCTGCTCCCAGACATCCTGGTTGACGGTTGCCACCTACACAGCCCCTCACAATTGTCAAAGGAGCCCTTAGGAGTGTCACTTAAGGAGCCCTGGTAGGTAGTCAACAGCCATAAAAATAAATACTGCCACAAAGGCTCTCACACACGCCAGACTCATTCACACTTTCCGGCTCTCGCGGGAAGCAGAGCCCTCGGACACAGCTTTGCTCAGAAGGGGTGCACACCTGGGTCAACACAGAAGCAATCCACTTGTCAAGAAATACCAAAATAATCATCTGGCTTGTTACAAAAGTGTCTCCGGACTCCAGGGGAGTGGAGGTACCCCGAAGCCTGCACAGGGTCTGGGGGGCGGGGCAGAGGGAGGGCGGAGGGCAGCCGGTGCTCGCCTGCTCACTGGTGGAGGTGGGCCCGGTCATCGGGGCGCTTGATGTGGATCCTCCGTACTCGCTCTATCCGCTCCCGCTCCCGCTCCTCGTCCTCGTCCAGGTGATGGGAGCGGCCGGCCGCCCCGCCTGTGGCCTCCAGGAGGGCGTTGTCAGGTCCCCGGCCGTCCTGGGCCTCATACAGCAGGATGTTCAGGGTCTCCTCATAAATGCGGGCTTCGGGGAACTCAACCTGTGCCCCCCCAAACACAGTGGGACATTAGCAGGGCCAACGGGCTAACCAGGCTGACAATGAAGACAGAGGAGAGCCGACATGACAGCCTTGGGGGACAACCCCTGTCTGCCATGGTCTCACTCTGGCGCCTCGGCAGACTCATGGCCGCACCCAGGGCCTGTGGCTGCTCAGGTGATGCCTTCCTCTCTGGTGGAGAGCTGCGGTCTGAGCAGGGTGGGCAAATGAACACCTGCTGCTTCCTCTCACCTCGTGCCTGGTGGCCTCAGACACGGGCCTAAGCAGGGATGATGGCAGCAGCTGGGAGAAGCGAGGCCCCAGCTTTAGAGCAGCTGAAACAAGGGAGCCCAGGACAAGGGAGGTCGGCGGGGGCTGCAAAGAGGGAGCCTCGGAAACTACGGCACCTGAACAGCCCCCAGAGGCAGAGCCTGCCCCTCCTCACACAGAGCAGCACTGGGATGTGCCCACCCCAACAGACGGTACACAACAACTCCAGTCACAGGGCTGGCTGGAACTTGTGGCCTGAATCCCACAGTGGCCGCTGCCAGCAAAGCCACAACATGTATATTGGAGCCAGTGAGAGGGCTCCGTGGGGGAAGGTGCCAAGCCTAACAACCTGAGTTCAATTCCCAGGACCCACATGGGACAGAAGAGAACCAACTCCCACAAACTGTTCTCTGACCTTCCACGTGCCAAGGGAGGGGGAGGGAGAGGGGACAGACTATTAAAAACAGAAACAACAACACAGTTCCCTAGGAACTGGACAAGACCTACTGTCCTACACCTGATACACTAAACAGGGTGTGGTTCTAAGTTACTCAAGATCGTGAGGCAGCAAGACCATCTCAATCCCGGGAAAGCTCACTCAGCAGACGCCAGCAGGGCTGAGAGGACACAGGATGCTGGGCTCCCTGACGGAGGCTGGAAAGACGAACAGCAGGAGCAGCAGAAGTGAAGAGGGCAGGAATGCATGCTGCAGGAGTAATGCATGCTGCAGGGCTGCAAACACAGCAGCCCATAGACAGGCTCGGTGACAGTGCTGACCCAGGAGTTCACAGAGGCCACACAATTTGACGGCGACACGAGGAAGAGGCGGAGCTCTGCTGGATTACCATTGCCTTAGCGAGGATTAGGGACCCTATTATAGGCAGGTTGCACAGGGCCAAGTGGGGGAAGAGCCCTAGGAATGCACCTGGAATGCCGTCAAGTCTCTACCATGCAAAACCCCCGAAGAACAGGCAGCTTAGACAGCGACTCAGGTGTGGCCCCACAGAGCTCAATGTTTGGGGGGGAGGAGGAGGAGGCACTGTTATCACCCAGGACCAGCGTGCTGCCACCAATTACCTGGAAAACCAAGGCCTTGGGCACCAGAGGGGCGAGGTCATCACCAAAGGAGCCCGGAGAAGAGAAGGGCCCTGACCCCGGAGCCAGGCCCTGCAACCAACAAGCCTCACAAAAAAGCTCAGGCTTCCTCCTGGAGACTTCTGCTCGTCTAAGACCACAGGCTCCAAGCATGTGCTTGCTGAATCCCTCTGCTCCCCAGTAAGCTCTAAAATGAGAACTGGGAACGTTTAAGAACTTACGAGAGCATGACGCAGCCTGCACAGTGAGCAGGCATCTCTGGCCCCCGGCCATGTTTGAAACAGAGGGCCTCAGCACTCTCCCCTTGGCTACCTCAGAAGCAATCTCTACCTGTCAGGAGAGATTCTGAGTACTTAGCTCAGGCTCCCCGTGCAGGGAAGGAGTGGGAGCACACAGGGAACCACCATCACAAGGTGGTGGCCATGACGCTGGGTGATGTGCAGCACACGGCACATTGACTTGTCAGATCCCGTGCCTTCAATTTTCCATCATCAATTAAAGGGTCTTGCATCTCTAGGTGGTCTGGCTTTGATCATCAGTGTTCTGCCAGCTCTGGGACCCCACAGAACCACAACTCCCAGAGCTGCAGGGGTGACAGTAACCCGATCCAGGGACTGAACACAGGCGACTAGAACCGTGGCAATCTGCTCTTGGCAGAATTAATGTCACAGGTAATCAGATTTCTCTCGGAGTGAGGAAGAGATGACAGGATGCACAGCAAACAGGAGGGGAGAGTGGGGAGGAGGGAGAGTGGGGAGGAGGGAGAGTGGGGAGGAGGGAGAGTGGGGAGGGGGGAGGCCACCCTCTCCCTAGGTGGGTGAGCAGCACTCCGCTGTACGATCTAGCTTCCTAGGACAGCTCCGCTAGAGCGACAGACACTATTGGCTTGAGAGAAGGATGCAAAGTAAATCAACACCCAGCTCAGTGAGGAAGTCAGGTGGCTTGGAAAGGTGACCTGTGGGAGGCTGGCGGCGGCATGGCGCAGGGGTTAAGAGCACCGGCTGCTCTTCCAGAGGACCTGAGTGGTTGTCAGGAGCCACGTAAGGTGGCTCACAACCGTCTGTAACTCTAGCTCCGGGGAGTCCGGTGCACCTGCACTCACATGCAGATAGACACATGCAGATGATAATTTCAAAAGGAATGACGCGTGGGGCCTGTGAGAGCGGAAGACAGATCTAGGTCAGCAGACAAGGACGGGGATGGCAGCCACGGGCAGCCAAGGGCCACCTCAGCCTTGACGGCCCGTGATGGTGGAAAGCACCGCTGCACAGAGGAGGCTGACTGTGCACGGGCCGTCAGAAGGGCTAGCAATGACTGACAGACAGACAGAAGACAGACAGAGAAGGCACTGGCAGCCGGGTGCAGCCGGGCGGGCACAGGAACAAACCTGATTCCACCTGGACTGCCTGAGCTAGCGGGAGCACGCCATCTCTGCTTGTACGGTGTCCGTAGGAACCACACGTGTTTCTCTGCGGACCACATACAGACCTGGCCCAGCCCAGTGAGGCAGGCAGGGAGGGCACGCATGCGCGTAAGCACGCACGGAGCCACCCACCCAGCTCTTACCTTGGTCTGCTTCTTCTCCGTGGCGTAGACGATGGAGGTGCAACAGACTTCCGCAATTTTTCGGCCCTGGCCGTAAAATGACCAGCAGCAGATTTCATCCCCGATGACGTCCTTTATGAACAGGACCCTCCCGTTAAAGCGCAGGGAGAGTTTATCAAAGAGCTCGATGTTCTTCAGCATGTTGTCGTCAGAATTGCTGCAGAGAGCATTAAGGAGGTGAGCCCAGGCTGCAGCCACCACACATGTCCACCCAATGCTTCTCCACGCAGGCCTCCCTGCTTCCTTCTCTCTCTAGTTCTACTTGGCGAACCTTCAAGAAAGGCCTGTAGTATTTACTGCCTGAGGAAGGAGAAGAGAGCCCAAAGACACCAGTTCACTGTCCAAGTCCAGAAACGTCTACATGGCAGAGCTGGGTCTCAAAAGATAGCTGTGGCCTGAAGGCTGTGCTCATAACCCACGGTTGCATGCCTGCCCTACACAGGCCTAAGTAGATCACTGAATGCAGGGCCTCTGGGCACAAGCTATTGAGCCCGCCCTACCCCTTTCTCGGCCAAGCCCCATGAGGTACATAACAGCAAAGCCCAAGGAAGACTTTTGTTTTTGTTTGAGACAGGGTAGCCTTGGCTGTCCTGGAACTCATTTTGTAGACCAAGCTGGCCTCGAACTCATGGAGATCCTCTGCCTCCTGAGTGCTGGGATTAAAGGCATGCACCACATTGCCCAGCTCTGGGAAGACTTTCCATCCTAGGTCAGTTTGTGGGTCTCATGAGCCCATTAAATCCCTACATCTCTCAAGCTGCTCATTTGCAGAGCATGTTCCTGAGAGGCAAAGGCACTTTAGAAACGCCCATCACTTGCTGGTGGCATTGTTAAAACAGTGTGATCTCCATAACTGCACCAGTCACAGATGACCGCAGCCCACTCCTAGTGTTTAAGAGAAAGGAACACCTAAGTCCACAAACACCTCAGCTCCAATTCCCAGCAGCGTTACTCAAAAGAGCGAGAAACTGCCAACACCCCGAACGCCCATGCTGAAGAGCGAATAAACTCGGCAGTCCACACAATGAAATGACAGCATTGTGCCGTAAGGGGAATGGCTACTGATGGTGCTACGGCGTGTTAGCCCTGAAAACACTCCATCAAGTGAAGGGATCGGTCACAACATGTTCTATCACATGACATGTTTGAAACAGGCGAATGTACAGACACAGACATGTAGGTGAACAGCTGCTGGAGGCTAGGAAACATGAGGGACGCTGCCTGTGGGGTGAAAAAACACCCTCATTCTGGAAAGTATTGGTGGCTGCACACTGTGGCTATGTCAACAGCACTCAGGTACACAAAAGGTGGACTGTCCAGCGAGGGGATCCCACCTCAGAGCTCCCTCTGCCCGCCCACCGGTCTACCCAGCGACGGTGTGGAGGGCCCTCCCTCCAGGTGAGACGGACACAGACAGCCCGACGGCTGGCTGGCTGGCTGGCGCTCACCTGGTGTAGGAGTATTTGTTGTTACTTCTGTTGTAGAGCAGCTTCACGGCCGGCTGTGGGGGGAAAGGAGAGGAGTTACCGGCGTGCGGTCAGTGCGCACTGGCTCCCCAGAGGCTGTGGGCAGAGGCTGGCGGAGCTTACAGGAGGAGGAGGGACGCTGCCTGCTCCAGGGGCAGGGACAACACGGGATGTGGGGCTTCCTACTCGGACCCGGCCGTTATCTCAAAACACAGGCACTGCTGCTCCCCACCCCAAACACGCCCCCCAATCCTGGACAATCCCCCCCACACACACACACACAGATACCCACACACACTGCCTCTGAGCCTGGAAAATCCCCACATTCACAAACACACAAACAGGCAGGCAGGCGCGCGCGCATGCACACACACACACACACACACACACACACACACACACGAACCAACCACTCCCAAGCCTCTGATGGAGCCCACTAGGTTTCCTAGTGGCTGTACCCAGCAGGACTGCATGGGAGGTTGATTGGACCACAGGCCTGGGTACCAGGTGACTGTAACTAGCAGGGGGAGGTCTTTTGCGCCATCCCTTGACACTGTTATAAACAGACCTTTGGAATAAAGTTGTGGGCCGGTGGATAAGGATCCAGGTCCTCCCAAGTCTATCCTGTGTTTTCTCTCCCCTCTCTATTTCTAAGTGTCTTATCCCTCATTCCTCGAGAGTCCCTGGGGTAAACAGTGGTAAGGGCCGGTCCTCTCCAAGCCTCTACACACCTTATTTGAAGTCGCTATGAGCCTCTGTTCTTCCTTGGAGGAGGTGATGACAGGAACCTTGCAGAAGGGTTCGTAAGTATCTTTGTTCTGCTGGAACAAAACATGCTTTAGCCCAGGGGTCTGTCTAGCACACAGCTGTTTAAGCTGGCCAGCCAGGAAGCCAGGCCCTTATGAGGAGACACAGGACAGTCATGGGGGAGAGAAGACGACACTCTGCACCTGTTATTAGGAAGGGGTACGACTAGGGCAGGAGTCTGCTCTGTTCAGGACTGTGGCACGCCCGACTGCCCAGTAACACAAGGATGGCTCAGCTCTCTCTGCCCAGGGGACCCTCAGCAGGGCAGGTGACAGCATCCAAAACTCCTACAGGCCACTAGAGTGACGGAGCAGAACGGAGACGTGAAGTCAGGAGACACAGAGTCAAAGGCTGAGCTGGCAAGCAGACGCCAGCTGAGAGACGGGAGAGCCAGCGGCAAAGCCCACGGGAGGGAGGCAAGAAGCCGGACAGTCCTCAGGGACGACCGCAGGCTAGGGGCAGGGTGAGGGCAGAGCCATCTCAGAGGTCAGCAGGAGAAAGGTCCACATTCCCGCAGTGGTGGCAGAGCAGAGGACGGAGACAATGTGCAAGTCCCCCAAGCCTGTCAGCTCCAGACGACAGGCAGCCATGCTTACACCCCACAGACAGAAAAAGCACAGGGCTTCTTTGGTTTTTAATCAAAGTTGCTATGTAGCCTGGGCTGGCCTCAAACCTGTGATCCTCCCGCCTCTCACTTCTGAGTGCCCGAACTTCAGGCCCTGGCACACCTGGCAGTAGAGGGCTCCTTACAGAGGGCTTCCCTCCAGTGAAGACAGTCAGTCTATTATCCAACCCTGAAGGCCCCGGAAGACGAGGACCCCCAGCCCCACATAGTAGCTTTTCCTTGGGCTGCCACAGAAGCCAAGGGTCATCCAATTATGCATGGGAAGCTTCTCAACCATGACATCAGAACCAACACCGAGAAAACGCAAGGAGAGAGGCACAGAGGGAGTGGACAGTCAAGGACAGATGTGGCACCTTCTCAGAAAGGGTGGCACGCCATGAGGGCAGCTTTCAGACACAGAAGGGAAAGGACAGGAGGCAAGTCTTGGAGGCTGAACCCCAGATCTAGACGGAGGAGCCAGAGGACACGTCCCGAAACAAAGGCGACACAGGATCTTGGGGACATCTGGACAGCCCAGCACGAGACTGGTCCTCCTATCTGTGGACTTGGGGATCAAGCAGGGAAAGCTACCCAATTAGAAATCAAGCAAACAAAATGCCCCAGGGCGCAGCGAGATTGGCAAGGGCAGGGTGAACTCAAGACACTGTCTAAGGCAAAGCTGCGATTAAACCATTCCGTGAGAAGGAACACGTACGGCTGGTGGAGGGGAGGGAGCATGCGAGGTGAAGTCTAATTTTCTCTAAGTCCAGGAGGTCATGTCTAAAGCTGAGAACAGACAGCGGCAGAGAGCCAGCCTGGGGAAGGGGGTATGGGAGGTGGGGAAGGCTATGGGGCACGAGCCATCAATCATGTAGTGCTGCTCTGCTTCCTAAACGATGTGCCTGCATAATGTCAAGAAATGTAAGAATGACTCCAGTGAAATCTGTAACATTTACAAAGGCTCACAGGCAAGAGATGTGTGTGGTGAGGCCAATGCCTCGAACTCGGGACTATGAAGACCGTTCCAGTGAGGGCTAGACACAGCTCTGAGGCTCAGGGAAGGTGCAGTCATGACCCTATCACAGCACAAAGGAACCTTCTGAGGCTCCAAAGTAAAAGCTCCCGACTACACGTGCTCTGTGGACTTGGCTCTCCCTGGCCCTGCTTCAGGACACAGGAAGAGTGAGGGAGCGTGTCTGGATGTTTCTCTGGACTTCCAACAATGGCAGATGTAGGAAGTCAGACTCCTGGGGGAGTGATCTACATGAGAGGGATGCAACCAGCACTGAGATGATGCACGGCACTAAGGTAAAGATCTGAGCAGTCTGGTGGCTCCCGCAGTGCTGAGCAGAGAAACGGCTTCTGAAGCACTGTCCAACAGCCCGAGACAACAGCATCCCAGGAGGGACGGTACAGACGACCACATCCTAATGACAGGGAACGGCTCCCTGAGGGCTGTGTTCAAACCTGCCTCTGCAGGTCCCAGGCTTACTCTGCAAAACGTCTCCCAACGTCTCAGTGAGGTAGGGCCCGTTTGCAGGGGGAAAGGAAGGTGGCAGACAGATCTGGTATCCCTCATGTGGGACAGACAGAGGGGTGCCTACTTGTAGGGCCGCCTGGCACTCTTCTAGCAGGCCCTGCACCAGGTAGTACTTGGCCTCCGCTAGCAGCTCCTCGATCTCCCGGCGGCTCTCCGGCAGGGGCACAGCCCCGTCTCGAAGGTAGTTGAGTATTGTCCCGAAGTGCTTCCCACAGCGGTCAATGAGGATCCAGCCTGCAGTGGGGTGACAGGGTAACTCGTCACATGACACTTCTCAGGGAGGTGAGCACCATGGCTGGGCACAATTCCCCGACTCCTGTGGTCGTCAGTCCCATGAGACCCCAGAGCAGCTCAAGTCTGAAAATGTGCTCTGAAGGACCTGGTAAACACCTGAGAGGCCAGAACCAGACTCGAGCAGCAGAGCCAATCCGCCAGACATCCCCGACTGTGACCTCTGGTCACATGTCAGACATGGATAGAGAGCTATCCATGACGTCACACAGGAAGCGCTCCTGGGCTAGTGACAGCAGCAGAACCTGTCACTGGACATGGAAGAATGTCCCACCTGCTGGCCAGCACCAGGCACGAGGGTAAGAACCAAGACTAACCCTGCTAATTAGAGTCCTCTCCAATTGTCCCCGGCTTACTACTCCTCTACCCGGGCCCACTGGTTTAAAATCCCCCTCCTGACGTGGGACGTCTCTGGAGGGTGTTCGGAGGAGGCCAGGCCTGGAGCCTGGTGACAAAGGAGCAAACAAGAGGCAGAAAGGGGTGAAGACCTGTCACCTCTCACGAGAGCAGGCAGGGGGCAGGGGGCTGGGGGTGGGAGGAGGAGGCTGGCGAGATGGCTCAGCAGCTAAGAGCACTGACTACTCGTCTAGAGGACCCGGGTTCAAGTCTCAGCACCCACATGGCGGTTCACAACCATCTGTCACTCCTGTCTCAGAGCATCAATATCCTCTCCTGACCTCTGTGGGGACGGGGCACTCATGTGGTGCACAGACATACGTGCAGGCAACATGTCCCTACACATGAAACAAAAATAAACAGAGCTTAAACCCATTTTTAAAAAGCAGTCAGACGGGTAAGGCAGACCACACAGTGACTGCAGGCAAGGGGACCTGGCATCCTCCTGACCAGTGCAGAGCATGGTATGGAGAGAACGGTAGGCGGGAACCGGCATCTCCACTCTTGACCCCACTGTGTCCTGCCCTGGATCCTCAGACCCCTAAGCCAGGGAAGAGGACGAGAAAAGCACCCTTTCCACATGTTACACAGCTAGCCACCTCATTACGCCATCTCCTACATCCAGCCTCTGCCAATGGCCTCTTGTGGTTTGGGTGCTTTCTGAGCTCTTCTGAACCCCGACAAGGCCATCCCCATGTTCCTCTCCTGGGCCTCTTCAGACTGCTCATCTGTTTCTGCACCTTCTGCTAAGGGCAGCCTCCCTCCAGAGTCTCAGTGAGAAACTGCCACACCACCGTGTTTCCTGCATGGAGCAGGAAGAAGAATGCCCAGTCTGTGAACACGGGCATGTGCTGCTAAGCAGGCTGGAAAGGTAAATCTTCCTGCACTGACCTCCAGGTGCCACACATCCCTCTTTCTGGGTCTGGGAAAACAAGACAGGCACTTTCTATTGTATACAATGCACAGCAAGCAGCCTGTGTGCAATTGTGTGGTCCAGGCCAGGGCTGGCTAGGGAGCACACCCTTTCCCCCAAGGGTGTGCAGCCATGTGGTCCAGGCCAGGGCTGGCTAGGGAGCACACCCTTTCCCCCAAGTGTGTGCAGCCATGTGGTCCAGGCCAGGGCTGGCTAGGGAGCACACCCTTTCCCCCAAGTGTGGCCTCAACCGATTCAGCCAAAAATGGCCAAGAAGGAAAGTGGGTCCAGGGCTTCTTGAGCTCTAGCATTCCAAGAAAAGTCAGAAATTCAGATTCTTTTGTCAATCTCCTCTTTTTTAAAGGACGGTAAATTAAACAGTTCTCAACCCATCAAAAGGCATATAAAACATGTGTATGTATGTAAGTTGAATTCAGCCTACATGCATCCAGCCCACAGCCCCCAAGTTCCTCAGACCAAATGAGAACACAGTATGGAATGCTATTTTCTCAGGATTACCTCAACTGCTCTTCTCAGCTGAGGCTTATTCTCTGCATTTCCGCAGACAGAGTCCCCAAGACGCTTGGCAGCATTCCAAAGTGGGGGTGGGGGTCAGGATTCAGCCACTAAGAATAAGGACCCTCGCCATGTGGAGGTGGCACACGCCTTTAATCCCAGCACACGGGAGGCAGAGCCAGGTGGATTTCTGTGAGTTCAAGGCCAGCCTGGGCCACAGAGTGAGTTCCAGGAAAGGCTCCAAAGTGACATAGAGAAACCCTGTCTCGAAAAACAAAACACAACACAACAAATCTGAAGAAAAAGAACAAGGAGTCTGAGGCTTCAAGAGAAACAGCAGTTGGTGACACACTGGGCTGACAGGAACGAGCCTGCCTGTGCCCTGCCGTCTATGCATGACCAGCTCAAGAGCCTCCCATTCCACCACCCCAGTGACAGCCCGGAGTTTCCATAAACCACCAGGCAGGCTGCGACACTGGGCTCCAGCTCAAGAACGTCAGGAAGTGCTTGTGGGGAAGGCATACTTTGAACAGATAAGGGCAAAGGAGCCAGGCACACTCTCCATGAGGTTTCAATTAGCATTTGGATTTGAAATACTTTGGTTGCTCTCAAAGCAGGAATCTATCCCTCACAGTCTGCTCGACCGCCTCACAGAGAACAGCAAACAGCCATCAAGCGGTTCCTTGCTCCTTGGAGCACACAGCATTCAGGACGGCTTCCAGGGCCATCAGGACAGCAGGACAGGCAGTACAGCTCAGAGGCTCGACTGCGCTCCAGGATGCCTCGGTGTCTACACAGGGGTGACTGCCAGGGCTCCTGTCAGAAGCCCAGCTCTGTCACCTGCCTGCTCACACCTCAGTATCCCCCTTAAGCTCTCGGTCCAGCAGTCAGTCTCTTCAGACGAATGCAGAGTGCTGGCATGCAGGTATGACCAGAGGACAGACAGAAAGCACACAGCACAACACCAGCCTGTCGGCAGCACTCAGTTAACTACAGGTCTGCGACAATGACCCCATCCCATCGGAGGTGCTCAGAGGACAGCAGCAGGACTGTCGGGAAGCAGCACATTCCAGAACTCAGGAGGGAGGCAGTGCGGCTTTCAGGGGACCAAGGCAGAAGGCTGCTGGGGGTGGCGGGCAGGGGTGCTGCTGGGGCATGGGACTACTGGGCTCATCTCATGCAATCACACTGGTGTTTCCTCTCTGGGGAAGCCCGAGCTCTCCTAACCCTTCCCTTCCTTCTCTAGGAAGCCTTTCTTCACCACACTCAGGTATTTCCAACTCTAAGCCTGCCCGGTCTCCACAGTCACTCTGAGATACTTGTTACAAAATCCAATTCCCGAACCCGAGTCTCAGGGCACGACTTCCAGCCCTGGTTCCACTGATCAAGATTCGGGAGATGGAGCCTGTCCAGGGCACTGCAGGAGCTGAGCAGCATTCCCGGCACCCAGGATGTGACAACTAAAGACATCTCTGGACACTGCTAATGTCCCTTAGGTCACAAACAACAACAGTCCTTATCTGAGAATCACTGAGCCAGATCAGGACCCGTGGATGGGGCCGAAGGGCAGACAGTCCTGCCTAGAAAGTGCGGTTCCCAGGCTCTAGTCCCAGTACCGGGAGGGAGGGGGGAGGGAGGAGTGAAGGGGGCCCGGGAAGAGGAAAAAGAGAGGATGGACACAGAGACCTGACCGTAAGAGCAATGAGGAAATGTAGAGACTCTCAAGAAAACCCAGTTATGTCAGACCAGGAAGAGATTTCTCCAAACAGAGTCACAAGGAGACAGGACTCAGAACACGTACTTTACAGAGCAGCAGGTTCAAAAAGGAGAGAGAAAAGAAATTGTGAATTAGATGCATGCTGTGGACTATACCGCTGTGTAAAGATGTGTTACACTTGTTTATACTATGGAGTGTTACTTGACCTGTGTAAGTGTTACCTTTGTGTCATTTAATTATGAAAAGATGTGCTGTTTCACCCTGTCTGCCCAAGGCACCTGACTGATCTAATAAAGAGCTGAGCGGCCAATAGTGAGGCAGGAGAGGGACAGGCAGGGCTGGTGGGCAGAGAATGAATAGGGGAGAGAAGGAGAGAAGGGGGGAAGGAGGGAGATGCCCAGGGCCAGCCAGGCAGCCGCCAGGCAGCAGACAGAGTAGAAAGAAAAGGTAAAAAGCCCTGAGGCAAAACGTAGATGAAGAGAAAGAGGTTAAGTCAGTCATAAGAGCTCGCAAGAAACAAGCCTAAGTTAAGGCCAAGCATTCATAACCAATACGAAGTTCCCTTGTTGCCTGGCAGTGGTGGCGTACGCCTTTAATCCCAGCACTCAGGAGGCAGAGGCAGGAGGATCTCGGAGTTCGAGGCTAGCTACACAGAGAAACCCTGTCTTGAAACCCCCACCCCCACAAAGTCTCCATGTCATGATTTGGGAGCTGGCTGGTGGCCCAAAAGAAAAAGCCTGGTACAGATGCAGTCAAACCGATTACCACAAAAGAGACGCACAACACACCAGAAGTTAGGAAATGCAAAGTCAAACAGACGCTGAGTCGGTAGCAGCTTGGTAGTAGTTGAAAGGTTCAGTGGTGCCCAGTGCTGCCACCGTGAACCGTACGAACCGACAGCCACCTGAGTGGAAGGAAGCTCTGGCAATACCATGGGAGACACTGTCCCCGCTGCTTCTGGGAACAAACTAGGGAGGGACAACCAGGGGCAGCTAAGAGCTGATGCTGCAGACCCTGAGACTGTGAGGCAGCAGAGGGAAGGCCCAGCCCTTGCCCCACGTCTCCAGGGGAAAGGCAACACCCTAACACTGCCATCAACCAGACATGTTCCATCAGCTGCAGTATGTGTCGAGAAGGGATTACTCTACCACAGGGAAAAACCTGAGCAGGAGCTATTTCCTCATGATGTCATGAGTACAATGATGAACGAACGAGAGCGAAAAAGAACGCCAATCACTGTCTGAAGCCACACTAACAGATCGCTGTTTAGTAACCTCCCCGGGCGGTAAACCAAACACCTCAAAATGCAGCTCCCAAGCCTGGCTGCACACTGCAGCCACCCCGAGATTTCCTATTGTGCCAACGTAGGCCTACCAGCTGCCTGTCTGGGCCTGGAGTCCTCGGGTGAGAAGACGGAGCTGCACCCAGGACCCCGAGTCAGGTTACCAGCTGCCACTAAAGAGGAGTCAAGCCAGCAAAGTATGGAGGCCACACTGGACAATGTGGCTTTCTGGGAGGACGTGAAAACAGCAAAATGAATGATTCCGCTTCAGTCGGTCTCTACACTCCAAATTCTGAATGTGTCAGTCAGAGATCTGACCACAGGGAGTGAGGGGCAGCTAGCGCTGAGGAGAAACGGGGGAGGAGAGAACAGGCCTTGCACTCTTGACCCTCCTGCCTCCACTTCCCGAATGCCACAATCTCAGGCACGTGCCACCACGCCCAGTTTTTTATTTGCTGATGGGGACTGAACCCGGCTTCAGCGCCCTGGGCAGGCGCTCCCTCCACTGAGCACCTTCCCAGGACGGAATCTAATCCTTACTGCTGGAGCCGCTGCACAAACGTGCTGGGCCACTGGAGATGGTGCCGAGCGCTCACAGGAAAACTCTAGCATGGCCAGAACTCAACTGTTCCGAGAAGTCAGGCAAAGGTCCGTTCACGGCCACTGTGCCAGAAAAGGCACCCCGAGGGCGCAATGCCAAACGGCAGCACATCCACTCCTGAAGGGCAAGGAGGGGCTCCCTGCCTCCCCCATGGAGGCGGCGGGCTCTTCTGTCTTCCTGCCGGCCAGTGTGCCCGAAGCACTCGGCGCTGACCACGTGGCTCTCTAGTGTCCTCACGCACTCTCATGACTCTGTCAAGTGTCACGAGCTGAGGTTCAGGGAAAGCCACTCACTCATGTCACAACATTCCAGTAAACGGCCCGTGAGGCAAGACTGGCGCCATGCCTGACAGGAGCAAAGGCCCCGTAAACGTCGGCTGTGGCTCTGCAGTGTGGCAGAGACCGGCAGGACTCAGCCCCGAGGGACTTCCCACACCCATGTTCTTCTTTGGTCAGGACTGTGTGCACACGGTCCATCGCTCAGGCAAGCGGCAGTGCTGGAAGGGGATACTTCCGCCAGCTCGGACACGGGGCCCTCCTCAAGCCACTCTCTCTCTGCCATGACCAGGGACGTCTAGCAACATGGCACATACACTACCAGAACCCTGAAACCTCCTTCCCTTCTCGTGGGAAGTCCTACTGTGGGGCCTTTGCTCAGCTGTTGCTTTTGACATTTGTTGTGTAAAGACAGTGTCTGTGGCCGGGCGGTGGTGGCGCACGCCTTTAATCCCAGCACTCGGGAGGAAGAGCCAGGAGGATCTCTGTGCGTTCGAGGCCAGCCTGGGCTACAGAGTGAGATCCAGGATAAGCACGAAAACTATACAGAGAAACCCTGTCTCAAAAACAAACAAATAAAAAAAGACAGTGTCTGTGTGTCCATATGAGCACTGGGTGTCCACAGAAGGCAGAAGATGACATCAGATACCCTGGAGCCGGACTTATAGGCAGTTGTGAGCTGCCTGATGTGGGTGCTGGGAACCAACTTCAGTCCTCTGCAAAAGCTGAACCATGTGTCCAGCCCTGGCATTTCTGTTTGTAGCAAACATGAGTGCAGCTAGCGATGCTAGTAATGGGGTCCCCAAATCAGCGTGAATCCTTAAAATGCAGGAAGTCTATTTCTGTTGGGACCTAAGAATGTTCCTGGAGTAGCATGGAGGCCATAGGTCAGGCTGTGCAATGTCCCTCCAAGGGCAACAGGACGGCTCTGCTTGGCATGGGTGATGCTGAGGTCAGAATGCCAACCTGACAGCCAGGCCTCCACGGAGCTGAAGGGCTCTGGCAGCAAACCAGAGCTGACCCACTGTGATCTGGCTTGGGTGATGGGCCCATGCCCAACCACAGAGAGTAAGAATCAATCTCCGGGTCGGTGGAGGTGGCCGCATCTCTTTGCTAGCCCCGAAGCTCTGAAAAAAGCATTAACTGATTCCACAGCAAAGGGCTCCACCGAGGGTTAACAGAAACAACAGCCACAAACTGCTGGACCCAGAGCTCTAAGCGGGCAGGAGGCCTGGTGACTGATGGGCACATGTGACATGTCTGCTATGTTGGTGACAACACTGCTTCCCCAGATGCTGGGTTACCCAGACTGCACGGGACAAAGGCGCCCTTAGCGTGCATCTACAGCAGGAGCAGGCCCGCTGGTCCACGGACACGGTTCAGCAGAGCCACCAGGGCTGTGAACCCTGTCTGGTCTGCAGTGTGGCCTCAGGCCACCCAGATGAGGGTTTTCTTCAAGAAGCTTCCCCAGCCCTCACAGCCTCTCAGCTGCTTCCAGAACCCTGCTGAGGCTGTGGACAGGGAGGACCAAGACGCACAAGGACGCTGGATTCTCAGATAACATCTGCTTCCTCCTGAAGCTGGGGTGCCATTGTCTTGATTTCCACAAATACTCGGCGGCATGGGGTGTGACGGCAGAAGGGCACCTCCCACCCATAAACCCTGTTTTCTGAGAGCAAGCACAGCTGAGACTGGGCTGTGACCCCACCAACCGGAAGAGAAGCAGCAAGGCAAGCCGCCCTGGCCTGCGTTTACAAGAAGCAGAGGCCTGGAGCAGAAAAATCTTGCTCCAAGTCACACAGCAGACCTGCTCAGTCAAGACTAGGAGTCCTCATCTACACCAGTGACTCCTACTCAGTCTGGTCTCAGCTCCAGTGCCACTTCCTCAGGAAGCCCTCCCGGACCACACCCCCAGACTAAGTCTAGTCTCCCCAGGCTTCCTGCACACAAGCGTGTGCACAACTACTCTCAAACACTGGACTTCCGAACAGACGGACAGACGTCCTTAAGCACTAGCATGTCTGTGGCACTTAGCGCAATGTCAAATTAGGGACCAGCAGCCGATGGCTGGCAGGCAGACTCACCTTCACTGTCGGTGAGAACTTCCATCCGCCCACTGAACATGGCCTTCAGCATGGTGTCCTGCTTGGTGAGTGTCTGCATGGTGGTGTAGTAGAGGGCTCCCCCGACATTCAGCTTCACGTACTTGGAACTGGGACTGGCGCCCTTGAAGGAAGTGGTGCGGGTAGCAGCCGCTGGCACCGCCGAGCTCACCACGCTTTCTCCTGACATCTCTTCCTGCCAGCGAGAGGACAGGGTCAGACACCAGGTCCCCTCGAGTTCCTTCAGCTCCAGGCTGATTTACACAGAATTCACTCCAGACAGTGTTTGGTTTGGTCCATGCATACACTGCGTTTAAAACGTTCACTGTTGACAACTCAAGAAAGAGCTCAAAGGCAAAAGGAAAAAAACAAAAAACCACCAAACAAACCCAGTTTCTGGTTTCTCTTAAAATCAGAGGCTGACTGGAACAGGTGGACAAATGGTGGTTGCTGGGGGGCCAGCTGCCCCCCAGGAGAGGAATGGATCCCTCAGTTCACTCCGATCCACACCTAGTCTCACAGGCTAACCTTGCCTGCTGACCCCACTGGCATGAGTTTGCCTCTAAATCTATGCGTATTAACAGCACCTGGCCGGCACGTCAAGGAGCCCAAGGCACGCCTGGGTCACTCTACCTTTCCTTCCAGCACACACGAGCAGCTAAAAGGACCATCTTTAGAGAGACTCCAGATGAACATGCTTTTGTGAGCTGGGCAGCTCTCCTACTCCCGCTTCTGCGATGTCCTATGGGGAAAGCGACCCTGAGCACAAGCAACAGCCGAGGAGGAAGCAAGTTCAGAAAAAGGAGCAATTTCCGACTCGTGTCACCCGCAGCGAGAGCCTACAGCGGTCCAGACAGCACCGCCAGACATAAACGGGGAGCTCACACCAAGGCTGGCTAGCGCCCGGTCCTTACCAACCTCGGGAAACTCATTTTTAAATAGGGTTCTATCAAACTCTAGAGCCTGAGATGTGTAGGGACGGGCTGGATCCGCTCCCTGAATCAGGGGCAAGAACTGAGAAAGACAAAAGGTGGCCTCCACAGACAACGTGGGTTGCCAACACTTCGAGGCCTTGGAAACGTCACACAACTTCACCGTCACCGGAAGCCGCTCTGGAACAAGCTGCTGTAGGACCGAAACAACAACAGTCCACCCTGGCACCTGAGCACACAAAGGACACCGGCCTTATCCAGAACACCAACGTGGCCACAGACAGCCTCTCCTGGCTGCCCTGGGTGCCGCCTGCTGCCTGCTGCTCTTGGCGCCCTACCTTCAGGACGGAGTCAGCTGCCTGCGACAGAGTCTCGCACACAGCAGGGCCCCTTCTCTGAACTCTCCTGCTCCTCCTCTTCCTGAGGTACCTTCCTCTCCCAGTGCAACCGGGAGGGAACCCAGCCACCCCGGGCACAGGTGCGCCTTGTATCTTCCGGCTAGAGGGCACTGACAGGCACAAAACTTCCAGCTACCCCAAAAATGACGGTTTTCTTATTTTTACCAGAAAGACTTTCCCACAGTGAACGCTTATTACATTATAAATGACAAACATACATCTTTCTAATAGGCAGGGGACAAAACAGAAGCAACCCGTCAGAGCAGAGACAGTGAGCAAGTGTGGGAAATACGGTTCAAGGTTCTCAATTCTGGCCAGGCGTTTCTACCTCTGTCCCCCAAACCTCAGGGGTGACTGGAAATCACAGCTGGGGGACTTGTGTCAGAGCCCTGCAGGGTAGAGCAGAAAGAACGGTCCCCTGCAAAGAAGGGTTTCCTCAGGCGACTCTTCCTGCGCCCTCGCACACACACACAGATACAGATACACTCACAGAGATACAGATACACTCACACAGATACATACAGATACACACACAGACAGAGATACAAATAGAGAGATACAGATACACACACAGATACACACAGATACAGAGATACAGATACACACAGATACAGATACACACAGACATAGATACAAATACAGAGATACAGATACACACAGATACAGAGACACACACAGATACAGATATACACACACAGATACAGACAGACAGACACACACACACACACACACACACACACACACACACAATCTGGTTTCAGAAGCTCAGGCGGGACTCTCCTGGGGTCTAAGGCATGCTGTCAAAATAAAAGATACCAGGAGGAAAGCAAGACACCGCACACTTTCCCCACAGCTTTCAAACCAGCCCTGGAGATGCTATTTTAACAGTGACGGCCAAACACATCCTCCAGAAACTATGTCCACCAGTGGCAGGTGATTTGAGGAATAAAGCTTTTCCCAAAACTTTGATGACCTGGAGGGCAAAAGAAAGGCTTACAGGTGTGGGGAGTGGGGGTGGGGAGGAGATTTGCCCCAAATTGGAACACTTTTCTACATCTTTTCAGATATAAACTTATGTCTATATCACACACACACACACACACACACACACACACACACACACACACGAACGCATGCGCACTCGGAGAGAACATATACAGTCTGCGGAAGCAGTCTAGCATCTTGCCAGGCACCTGACATGAAACACACAGAACAGGACATAAACACACCTGTGCACTTGTGTGTGCGCACTGTAGCATATGATGAATTACACTCTCCGTGTACAGATGGCTGGGTTTCCATGAATGTGCACCTGTGCAGCCCCACTCTGATTACATCAAAGAACACTGACACACTCTAGACACACTCATGTCCTTGACCACTTGATTTCTGCCACTCTGGCCGTGACATCCACACAATGTGAGAGGCAGGGATTGTCATCTCCATTCTATGGCCCACAGAGGGTCAGTCACGTCTCAAAGCCGTGAGGGTCCGTGACAAGCAAGCAAAGGATGTGGGTAAGGCCTGACTGGCCCCAGGTTGTTCCTGATGCTTGGTATATTTAGAGCTATGACATGTAAGTCAAAGAAAGAAAAAAAAGACGAAAAGCAACATGCAGTTAAGGACTCAGTTGTCAGTCCCGTGTTCAAAGCCCCAACTCTGACACTTAGTAGTGGCAGGAACATGGGCAGACACCTGAATGCCCCAGCTATCAAACAGACACACTGGCTTTCCCTCCCGCTGCAAGAGGCCAGGGGAACAGATGGCACTCAGCACAGCCCCAGGCCGGTTAAATACTCCAGCAGAAAACACTCCAATTATGATTATCCAAGTCTCAAGCCATTGTCTCCTCTTCCGAGACTGTCTCCAGCTACGAATGACTAAGGGACGGAGGCATTAAATATCACCACGGAGAACGAGACACCAGGCGAGGCAAGGAAAACCTGGAAACTTGCCAGAGCCCCTCACCCCCAAGTCAACTAATTAGCCTAATGTCAGGAGAGACCCTGGGGCAGCAGATTCTGGCTGCATCCATGCCCCCAGGGCTCAGTGATAGTGACCTGAGAGCAGAAAGTGTCCTAGCTTGCTACGGCAGACTTCTCTGCAGAGCCCTTCCCTGCCATACACAGTGATGCTGCTGTCTGGCCCCTCTACAGGCTGGTATCATCAGCGAGTGCCGTGGAGCACAGACTGGGTTACCAGTGCAAGGGAGGGAACGCATCTGAAATATGGACTTGTTTTTGACATCTGTCCCGGTACTAAGAGTGAATCTGGGCTTCTTCTTTCCTCCCCGACTGCTTGAAGACACCTTTGACAACTCTAAATGGTGTCTCTACCTGGCCACGTGCTGGAACCCCAGAGGAGCTTTAAAAAGACAGTAATGTCTGGGTCCTTTTCATAGAGACTGTGACGTATCAGTCTTCTGGGTGAGGCCAGGAACTTTTTTTTTTTAATTCCCCCAGCTGGTTCTAATGTGAGGCCAAGATGACAAGCCTCTGTTCTAAAAGGTTCTGTACCCCATAATTCAGCTATAATTAGCTCTGTGGTCTTGAAGAAGCTCTCTAACTAACCTCTTACTCTGCTGGCCCAGTGAATTCCTGACCCACACATAAAAAACCACCAAAGCAACGTAAATAAGAGTCTCAATGCACGGCTTCAGAGCCCAAGGCAGGAAGCAGCCATCAACATGTTTGAAAAGATTTAAAAAAAAAAAAAAAACCAGCAGAAAGGAGAGAACTATTGACTTGAGGGGAAGCCAGACAAATAAGACAGGAAAAAACAAAACAACAAAACCACCCAGAAAATACCAAATTCATGCAACCCGTCTCGTGTGAGCAGAGAGAAACAAGCCTGAGGACCTAGCAGCCCTGGCCTGCACTCTCAGGCCATCACTTTATGTGCCATGTTCACAAGATCGATTGAACCCAAGTCTCAGTTTCCCAACTTGTGAAACAAACTGTTAAAACTATCATCTTCCAAATACTCCCCCCCACCAAAGTTAAAGCACGGGCCACCTAATCCTACTTCTACAAGTTTCTCTTCTACTCCTTAAGACCAGGTGTTTTCAAACAGCTACTAGAGTCAACCTGTGCTTTCACAATACTCGTGCCTGCCTGGATTAGACCCCGGATCAACTCATCAGAAGGCTGGCAAGCAGCAGGTGATGCAGCTGCCACTAACTTGGGTCTAAAAGGCTCTTTCAGATGATTCGGATGCTAAGTAAGATCAGATGGTCAGTTGATCTAATAGCCACCTGAGGGGAATTCTCCCCCCAGGGAAACTTAAGAAGCACTATGCACTCACGGTGGCTAAACCTTAACACCTTCCTAAACTGAGGTCTCTGCTACAAAGCAGAAAAGGTTGCAGCTCCATTGGAACCAAACCAGGTTGAAGAGGGTAAATGACTGAAGCATTCTGCACCGTCAACTTGCTTCTAAGGCAGTCACCACCAATCCCAAGAGCCTGGCCGAATGGCATTCTCCTGCTAATTTTTCGCTTGTTTGTTTTCCGAGACAGGGTTTCTCTGTGTAGCCTTGGCTGTCCCGGAACTCACTCTGTAGACCTGGCTGGCCTCAAACTCAGAGATCCACCTGCCTCTGCCTCCTGAGTGCTGGGATTAAAAGTGTGTGCCGTCCACGGCCTGGTTCTACTGCTAACTTTTAACCTGCTTCTCTTAAGAGTCTAGTGAGGATACTGTCAGTCTTGCTATTAGGAAAGGAAGCCAAGAATTAAAACTCTGCAAGGACTGATGTCAAATGCCTCCGTTTCACAACCCAAATCACTAATGACCTGCAGAGTTTGTAAAAATAAACTGATAAATCTGTGCCCAGGTTAGGGCTGAAAACATGGCAGCTTTGAACAAGTCCCCAGGTAATGCTGCTGGCCTGGGGGGTCCGTTGAAGAGCTAATGGTAGTGTTCGCCTTCTTTCACCTAAGTGTTCCTTATCTTACACAAACTAGAGCCGATCAAAGCCAAATACCTGCTGACTCATTTGTCTTCAGTTTGGGATTGATCTTCTAGGGGAGTGAGTGGTAAACAAAGAGGAACTGGATTGATACCTCGCTGCCCATCCCCACCCAAGGACAAAGAACCATTCAAGGAACAGACCCTTGAGAAGCCCAGGTACACAGAAACCATCCCACAGCCCAGACAGCAACAGGAGACAGCCTGGGATTCCCAGGTGTGGTCACCTAAGGCCTCAACGGAAGTGACTAGACAGGTACCCAGATGCCACTTGAGGCTACACTCTGTGGTCACGAATACCCTGACCTCAGACATCTGGCATCCCTCCCCCAAAATTCCAAACACGGAATTTACAGTCATCTCGCTCCAGACTGTGGGTCTAGAGGATCGTGGAAGCCCCTTCCTGTCTTGCCTGGAACCCAAACCACTCAAGACACAGCCCCTAGGACGCCAAATGCTCTGTTCCAAGGTTTCCCGCTCGCCCCTCGCTCTCCACACGCCCCCCCCCCCCACCCCGAGCGTCTTCATGTCCCACCCCGAGCGTCGGTTTCGATGTCGTCGTCTCTTTGTTCTATCAATCTTCCAAGTCCCATCTCCGACCAACACTCAAGTCCCGGAGCCCGTCCGCTCACCGCCCTGCACATCTCCGTAAATCCAAACGCCCCTTCGCAGACCCCCCCAGTTCTAGCTCCAAAGCCCTTCCCCCGCCCCGACCTCGCCCGCACGCGCTACCCAGCACCCCTCCGCTATCGCGCCCACCGCGCCTGGTCCCGCGGGTCCCTCCCCCTCGGCCTCGCCGGCCCGCAGCCCCCCGACAACGGCCACCGCCCTCACCATGAAAAGTCGGAGGACGCCGGAGTCTCCAAATCCGGACTGAAAGGCAGGAAACACCCAGCTTACTCAAAGCAGGGGGCGGAGGCGGGGCCGGGGCGGGCACTTCCGTTGTCCACACCCCACTTCCGCCCCGCAGTGGGACCCCCTCTTAAAATGTCCCCTGCAGCCCGAAGTGGGCACTCTTTCCCTTGTAACCTCTCCCTCTCGGGTGGGTCCCACTTCCCCGTGGCTGAGTCAGGCATTTATCCCACTTCTGGATGTTTCTTCTTCTCGGCTGCCAAAGAAGAGGACAGGATGAAGAGAGGTTTTCTTCCCCGGGCAAAGAAACTGTGCGGAACTGTTGTTTCCCGGAACTGGATCGTTGCTTCTAGGCGGAGTTCGGAGCACAACACCCGGGGCAAGATGGCGGCCGGGCTTCAGCCGCTGCCCCGGGTCTGGGCGAACTCGGGGGTGTCGGGCTGAGGCGGCAGTAGCTGCGGCCCGGACCCCGAGCGTGGGGGCCTCGAACGGATAAAGATCTCCGGCCTGCGGGTAGCGAGTGGGAACAGGATGGTCGGTTCTCTGGGTGGCGGGACCGAGGACTGAGGGAGGTTGTCTGGGGGCCGAGTCTTGGCTTAGTGAAGTCGGAGGGGGCGGTTCTGGAGGCTGACTTTCTGGTTCTAGGGATCTCTCCGTGGGTGGCCCCTTTCCATCGATTTTTCGTTTGTTTGAGGCAACTGGCCTTTATAGCCTACTAATTAAGGGCGAGACGGACTTGTTCTTGTGATTGTTGATGTTGGTGCCAAATGAAAGGCGTTGGGCTTTAGCAGTGTCACCCGAAGTGGAATTCGAGCTCTGTGCGCTTGCTGTGTGTGACCTTGGGTCAATCCAGTTACATCTCTGACCCTCAGCTTCCTCCTTTGTAAATGAAGTAATTAGATTGTTTCACAGAGGTTATTTTATGACACGTTTTAGTGTGGTTGCTGGCAGCTCTTAACACAGAAAAACTTGACCACATTTTGACTTCAGCCTAGCCACAAGGAAGCCCGGCATTCTCAACTTCTCTTTGTTGTACCCTTCTGTGAGTGGGGCAATCCTGAATCTTGTCTGTTTGACTTGCCAGTAAGTAATTCCTTTGGGGTTCAAATTCAGGGACCTGAAGGACACTGGCAAGTTATATATCCACTCTGCATCTTGCTGTAGGTGTCTATGAGCCATAGCTTGGATTATTTAAGACCTATTGCTTATTCTTGAGCTTATGGCTTCTTTATAGACCTATTGCCTATTCTTGAGCTTTTAAATTGGGGTATTGTAGCCTAATAGGATAGAGCTGATGTAAAGGAAGAGCTAGTTAAATATGTGTACTGTGTCTGTTACATGACATGCCCTTAAATGGTGCCCATGAAGTCTGGCAACCTAGCTTTTTCCACCATAAAGGAAAATTGCTCAGCAGTGTGGTTTTATTTTACTTCACAGTTTGGACTCTTGTGTGGTTTGGTTGCTCCCCTCGACTTTAGTCTCATCCAGAGTAGATGGGTTTTAAGCAGGTTGCCTGGGAATATGGAGGTACTGCAGAGTCTGAATCTTACCTGTTAACGTTGAAAGCTTGGCGCTGCCACTTACTAGTTGTGTAACCCAGGCTAAGTGGGGGGCAAGAATTGATCTTCTCACAGTGTTGCTGCCCTTATTAGGTGAGGCACTTAGAGGACACTAGGCTTATTTTCCCTTCCAGATCTGAATTCTTACCAGCTTAGGGTTTTCTAATCTTCCTACCTATGTAACCCTTATTTCCCAAACCAGATTCCAAGCTTTGTAAGGACAATGTAGTAGGGCTTCCTTAGATCCGATGAACTTCCAAATGCCAGTCATTAATATGTCCCCGTTCATTCCTAATCTCAATACTGCAGTGACTAAATTAAGGTTCAGAATGGCAGATGTTCCATGCAATCCTTCAGCAACCCTGAGACTGAGTATTGTTGTTATCCTCAGGCAATGGGGGCCTAGAGTACTTAAGTGCCTGTGAAATGAGAGGTGAAATCAGGACTAGAAAGGTCTGAGGGTCATTTTCTCGGATCTGAGGCCTTTCCTGTTCCGGTCTTTGCTGTGTTTCTCTGTGGCTTTCAGGGCAATGAGAACGTAATAGTTGTGCATCTTGATTCATGAACTGTGCAGGTGGAGGGGCTACAGGAAGAATGAGGAAAACCACAAAGCTTAGATTATTGTGCAGTGTAAACAGAAGCCAATGTGTGAGATTTCTCGTGGGGATAATCCCAAGAAAGGGATCAGATCCTGGGAGGTCCCTGGGAGAAGCGAAAGCTCCGAGGTCGTCATGGATGCTGGGTACTGTTTGCATTCAGTCATTTGTTTTTCCTCTGGGAGGGGACTCCTGCTCCTGCTTCCCTGTCCTGCCTACTGCTAGGGATCTCTTTATTCTTTTTTTAAAGATTTGTTTTTTAATTTTATTTTAGGTGTATAAGTGCTTTGCTTGTGTGTATGTATATGCATGCCCATGACCAGAAGAGGGCATTAGATGTTCTAGAACTGTGGGTGCTAGAAACCGAACCCTGGTTCTCTGCGAGAAGAGCCAGCGCTCATAGCCACTGAGCCGTCTCTGAAGCCACTAGTCGGGCCGTCTTAATGAGAGGACTTGGTGTTGTAGTCATGCCTTGAGCCCTGCTCATACCTCTCAGGAGCTTGACTGTTCACAGTTTAAACAATAGGCTCAGGGGTTCATGGTCCCAAGTACTGGGCCTGGCAAATCCTAGTTCATTTGAGGATAGGGAAACAGCTTAATGGAATGGTTGGTGCAGATGGGGAGATTAATAACAGACAGGCTGGAGAGAGATCAGAGGTTAAGAGCACTCACTGCTCTTGCAGAGCACTCAAGTTCCATTCCCATTTCACAAGGCTCACAACTACCTGTCCCTCCAGCTCCAGGGGATCTGACACCCTCTGTTGGCCCTCCTGGGCACTGCACTCACATCCTCACAGACTGACACACAGTTGAAAATAATGTCAAAAAAGGAAAACCCTTTTGTGTCGGTAAAGGCAACACCTCCCCTAGGCTTCGTAACTGCTCTGTTAGTAACTGGGTAGAACCGTGGTACACACGTGACGGTTCTCATGACTGGCGTCAAAGCTGATTATCAAAGGCAGAAGACTCTGATACTCCCTGCCCGCAGGGTTGACAGAGCGGGCAGGGGCGGGGAGATTGGTGCCAGCTCTGTGTGACTCAGGCCCATATGCCTCTTCCTGTGAAAAGGAGGGGTTCCCCATAATCCCACTACTCAAAATGGCCACTTTGATTTGTTTTTGGCCCTTTACCACACTGGAGAGAAAACCTTAGATCTCAACCGTGTTTCGGGGCAGTGTGGTCTCCATGCATGCACATTCACTTGGCCTTTTCCCTGAGACGTGGAATCCTGTTGTCTCACAGAGAGCCTGTTTTTTCACTTCTACGGCATGAACACTTTTCCAGAGCATTGAAAAAATGTAAAGCGTAATTACTTTTTAACATTGTGTTACCTCTTGGAGTTACTTTTGAAGGAATGTGACTTTAAGAGGATTTAGAGGGTTGCTTTTAATAATTTAGTTTTATGTGCATTGGTGTTTTGCCTGAGTGTATGTCTGTATGAGGGTGTTGGATCCTCTGGAACTGGAGTAACAGAAGTTGTGAGCTGCTGTGTGGATGCTGGGAATTGAACTGGGGTCCTCTGGAAGAGCAGCCAGTGCTCTTAACTACTGAGCTATCTCTCCAACCCCTAGATGGTTTTTAAAATCAACCACAGTATGTTACTTACACTCAGTAACATTGGGATGCCACACCTACAAAACAGTACTAATTCTGAATTTTTCTTACGTCAGAAAACCAACTCCTCTGAAGCCAGAAGCTGTGCAAGGTCATCCATGGTCACCTAGCATCTCCGTTGTACAGGCGGGTCCTCAGGTGAGCTCACTCTCCAGGCCTGGCACAAGAGGGAACAGTTAGGAACATGGCTACCTCTCTAGTTCTAGCTTTTCTGTCCCTGTGGTTAGCAGACTACGTAGGTCTGTTTCAGGAGTTGCTGATGGGACTGGCTGGTGGTAGTGTGTTTGACTAACCTGCACAAAACAACATTTCCTTGAGTATTGCTGATGATAACCTAGTATGTTGGCAAATCCCTGGTGTCATTTGACAGGTGTGAGTCAGGTGAGGAAGGTATTAGAGGTCCCTGGATATATTCATGGGGCAAGAATCTAGTTCCACCTTTTATTCTATGCGTGTTTCCAAGTGGCTGCTGCTTTGAGTGAATTAACCTGGTGAGAGATGCTTTTCCAAGACTCTGCATTTCTGCCTGAGTCACATTCGTGTTTTGGTCAGCTGGGCTGATGATGTGTGTTGTGGGATAGCTAAAGAGATCACCCAGTTAGGAGGCCCAGTGGGTAAATGCTTTGTCCATTTGGCTGTCAGTCAAAGCCACCCACTTGGAGCAAAAAGCAATTACTAGTGATCCTGTACTGTTCAGTGTCACCTCTGCCCTGCACAGCACCTGTCAGTGAAGAGGAGCAGGTCCCTGTGTGGCCTGGCCGCAGAGTGTGTGATGTGTAATGTCCCCTATCCAGATTAAATGGACTGTCATGGCTGCTGGAAACCTGGTCGGTAGAAAAAGTCCTTGCCATGCAAACACGAGGTCCAGAGTTCAGGCCCCCAGAATCCACTTGTGCTGGGCAGGTGTGGCACCTGAGTGTGATCTCAGCACTTCAGAGGCAGAGATGGGGTCCCTGAGGCCTCTTCAGCATAGGTAGACCCACTGATTTGTGAGCAGTGGGCTCAAATGAGGAACCCTCCCTTCATAAACAGAGTGGAGAGCAATGGAGGAAGACACGACATCAACTTCAGCCTCCATGTGCATATGCACACACTACACCCACTCCTGTGGAACACAACACACACAAGCAAAAATCAAACAAAAATGACTTCTTAAAGAAGACCTTGGGGCCTGCAGTGTGGCCCAGTGGGTACAAAGGCGTCTGCTGACCAGCCTGACGTTTGAGTTTGATCCCTGGAATCTACATGGTGGCAGGAGATGGCTGACTCCTGCATGTTCTCTAACCTCCATACACATTCCATCTATGTACATCACACTCATGTACTCATGTGCATACACACACAA